TTATTGTAATACATACAATATACATAATACATTATTACCTGTATGCAAACTTTTTTATTGGGGTTTTCGTTGATTTCAAATATTTTTTTTATGCATACATATGAGAAATAATATAAACGTAAAACAATTTTCCAGATATTTTTAAAAATATAACATCGACTATTCAAAATAATTAATACATTACTATTTTTGAAACGTATTAAATCCTTAAATACACTGGTTTTAAGTTTTGATAAGCTTAAACTTTAATGTTTATCTGTTTTTATAAATATATCTATGAAGCATTTTGTAAACATTTTCTATGTATTAGAAACGCTTACAATTCTGTTGATATTTCTACATGAATTTCTTGTTCATCGTCACTAAGTTGTCTACCACTCTAACTTCAATGAATTCGTATACACCAATTCATTTCTCTAAGTTCACCAATCAGAGAATAAGCTAGGATGGTGTTTCCCATAATAGTGTCCTGAGTCTTACATATTCATTTATAATTTTATTATTATTATTTCTCAAAAATAAAAAAATAAAATTGTATATTTCAGTTTGTTCATAAACGATTTTGACTGTAATTTTTATTGGTTCCTAATCATGTCGGGATCAAAGGGGAATTTATTAGAAAAATTAAAATAAATTAGTTTTAGTTTAGTGAATTAGTTAAGATTCACATACTACCGTTTGTATATATATATATAAATATATTAGGGTGCTCCTTAAATTTAATATGGCAATAGATGTCCGTCATTCGGCTCTAAATACTGAAAAATTATTTTAATCCCTGTTTGCTCATCAAATGTATACTGTCACTCAGCTCAGCTCGGAAAAGCGCACGTCAACCGCGTCCACGCCAAGTGACATTAAACATTTGACATGCAAACAGGGAGACCAAGAAATTGAAATCAAAATCTGAAAAAATTAGAGAAATATTTTTTCAATACTTGGAGCTAAAAAACGGCCGTGTCAAATTTAAGGACCACTCTAATTAAATATATATATTAGAGTGTCCCTTATTTTGAACTACTCTAGTGGGCTAAAGAACCTAAAAGTTTCAATGCTCCAACTCAATTTTTACCGGTACTTGGAGGCCAGTGAAGTTTCTCACTTAAATAACATAGGATTATCGTTACTTTTGTTCAATATTTTTGGAAGATATAAAAAAAGAATCTTAAAAATATGGGGCCAACATGAGTCACTTGCGTATAACACGTACTTTTAAAAAAAAAATTTAATATTAATGTTCAAGCCATCCAGTAGCGCACCTCCGCGACTGGTCATACTGGAGGCCGTTATCACATTTTGTTTTATTTTTCCAATGCGCAGCTAGCTGACCGGTTAGTAGTGTAGCGGTTGTTCTCGGCCCATGAAGTTGTGTAGCTGTCGCTCTGGGCCCATCAAAGCGTGTCGATTGGTATCCGCCTATTACTCTACGTGAGAAGAATTGTTTCCGGCTTCTATATTGGATTCGTTTGCGCACGGTAAACGATGCTGCTCGTTGGAACGCCTTAGCGAACATTTGCCGTACACTACCATAGGTCAGGTTAGTTCAGTTGGGATCCGGTGAATCGTCTGGGCAGCGGGCTATCCAGTTGGGAAACAACGAGCCATTTCCGAAGCACGGCAGTTTTCTGAGGTCCAGAAGGAGGAGACAACCCGTAGTTAAATTTAATATTGTTTTTTGTTTGTATATATTTGTAACTGGACAGGGACGTCTGTTCAGGTAGGTATAAGGCCGCCAACAATAAATTAAATCTAGAACGTTATAAAAACTAGACTATCCTTTTTTCTATAGTGCCTTTTTCTTGTTTGTAACGTGACCCCTCCCAGTTCGGAAGTCAGCCGTCGTCGCCGACCGTACATACAGGAGCGAGGCGGCAAACCATTAATTAGTTGGCCATTTTGCGCGAAGTCAAAATATCGAGTTTCCCCGCAGCTGAGTTTTTTAATATAATTTATATCATTTTCACGCAGGCGAATAATAATTCATCCCTATTAATGCACGTAATTTTAAATTTGGGGTTTACCATCATTTTTATCATATCAAGATAAGTATATTTTTGCAATTAATTCGTAGAAATCAATAATTTCGCGTGCGTGAAAATGATAATCTTGCCTGTATATGCCGTAAAAAAAATATATCTAAAACCCCAAATTTAGGCGAAAACTCGATATTTTGACTTCGCTATGCGAAAAATGGCCAACAAATTCATTTTGTTTTTTTTAAGTACTTTTTATACGCAAGCGACTCACGTTGGTCCCATATTTTTTTAATTTTTTTTATATCTTCCGAAAATATTGAAAAAAAGTTACGATAATCCCGTGTTATTTAATGAAAAACTTTACTGGCCGCCAAGTACTGGTGATGTAGGCAACCTAACGTGCCGATGACTTGGCAACAGGGTTCTCAGCACAGCGGTATATGTTGAGCTATCAGTGTTATTTGTATAGATTAGACCGTTTAACATATATTAAAACCATATGGAGGAATAGAATGCAACGCAAAAAATGTAGCAGCCGTGTTCATATATAGAATAACTAAGTTACGGAATGTAAGGTAGAACACAACCGCATACCAAATATGGCTAAAATTAAAGCAAAAAAACTTTAAATATGATTTAATATATTGCTTAAAACACAGAGTTAAACACACAAGCTGTAGTGGGTTCAATTTCAAGTCAAATAATTTGTTAATAACTAATACTGAATTAATTATCAAATAGAAATATGAATGATAATAATAACATAATATTTTATTACATAGGTTAGCGAAGCTACTGCAGAGAAAATACCAACTGTCGAGTCAATAAAAAAAGTAATTCGACATGTGGGAAAAATCAAATCACGTCGCCCACAAACGCACTGACATGAATGGTTTGATAATTTCAGCAGAGTGCAGAACTGCTGTAGATGGTAAACATTTTTTATTTCATTATAGTTATGACATAGATCATCAAAAACCAAGAATTCTTATATATTCGACTGAATAGTGCTGAAATTTAGTAGTGAATTGCGATCATTGGTATGTCGATGGAACTTTGTCAAGTTGTCCAAAATGATTTTATCAACTGTACACTATTCATGGCAAACAATACAGCAATGTTTCACCTTCTGTATACATTCTTCTCCCTCATAAATCCGAAAATATTTATAATTATTAATAATAGTTATTTAAGAACTAAAACCTGATGCTAAGCCGAAATTTGTAATGGTTAATTTTGGTTAATTTTGAACACGCAAGCATAAATCATTAAAACTGAATTTTTTCATTTTGACATTTTCATGTCTTAGCTCTGGCTCATAACCGAAAAAAGCGTTACCAAAAGAGCGTTACGAGATAAGGGTGAGTGATAGAGAGGGATAAAGGGGGGGAGATAGGGACGGGAGATAGTGGGTAGGGGAGAGGGGTAAGATATAGTAGATAAGAGATATGTTGTACGTTCAACGTTCAAATTAGAACTAAATAATAAATTCAAAATAGTTTAGTTCTCTATGTTAAGTTACTTTTGGCCAGATAATAAACACTACAATTTTAGCCAGAAACTTGATTTTACATAATTTTTTAATCTCCTTGGCCTTATGCTGTAACTGGAAGCTCCATATAATTTTTTTTTTTAATTATAATTCCACACCTAATCTAAATTTATTCGGTACTTCAACGAGACATGAAAATGCTCTTTCGTGGTTGCAGACTCGGCTGAAAAACTTTTTCATTTAGTATCACATCCAAGATTCCTAATTTGCAACACATTATCATGAAGACCAAGACTGTGCCTTAAGTTGGAAAATGCCTTTTCGAGGCAACTTTTAGAAACAGATTTTTACCAGCAAAAACAAAAAATCCATTATTGGATTGTTTGGAAAGTACATGGATAGGACGTTTAAATAGAAATAGGAAACGGCGAAATCCTTAATTTCCAATAATATTATGGGACTGTTATGAATTTATTTATAACAAATAGTTTAGTCGAAGGATGTAATGCATGCAGATATAAATAGTATTATACTTTCACCCTTATTTTTTTGAGATTGGGCCGCAACTCACCAACCCCATTTATGTTATTCTATCGCTGTATACAGTGGTTGTATGGGGTATACTAATAAAAGAGAAGCACTAGGCAGTCAAACGCATTTAGATATTACTGTTAAATACGGCGTGCTATATTATGCATTTATAATAATACTAGCATATGCACATGGTAATATTATTATTTTACTGCAACAGTTCAATCCAATTTTCTGCTCTGATAATTTGTTTGAACTTTCCGTGAAATGTTGAACGCAATTCGATTATGATTAAAAAAATATATATACTATATGTGCAAAACCTTTGATAGTCTGGTGTAATATGATTTAAATGTGGACTTTGAAAGGTCGATGGTGGCAAGCGGGCAGTGGATGAAAACGCAGAATTAATTGAAATTGCCATATTATGTTACTTAATCATATTTCACGATTATATAATGATCGCCGCGTGACACCGCAACGTCAATTAGTTATTTATAATTTATATTAAATACAACAATAGTTGACTTACGATGCATGTCTTTTTTCCCGATATAATTCATTTCAATTCTAATATCCTATACATGTATATTGAAACGAAACATGTTTGTATACCATATACGTAATGTTTTAATACATAACATTTTTAAAAAGAATAATATCATGTTATATTTATTTTGGCATATATAAGATTACAACAATTTAACTACAAAAAACTGGTGCTGAGTAAAATATATAATTTACTCGCGATTTGTTTCATTACTTTTGAATATATTAAGTAATAGGTATACTTTTTGTTATTTAAAAAACTAATTATCATTTTTATACATATTTTTTAATAATAAGAGTTTTTAAAAATGATTTAAAAAGAAAAAATATTGATCAACTTAGCTGTTTATTTAACAATAATGAATGCAGTGCAAACTGCAATTTGTATTCGCGTTAACCTGGGCAACATCAATTTTCACGGGGCGCGCTAGTAATTGCACGGCGTTGGGCAGAGAGAGTGGTTCAGCTACCCTGGCCGACGGCTTTGATGCTGGTGCAACTACCGTGGCCGAACAGTAGTCTTGTTGCAGTAGTCCATTCCTGTTGCAGTTATCGAACATCGGATTCTTACCACACGACCATCCAACTGATCAATAGTAAAAAATGAGGTACGTCTATAATAACTTTTTCTTAATTATTTGAATGTTTTATTTATCTGAGCGCACGGAAGTCCTCCGGCAAAGTTCCAGTAATGCCAGTGTATCTTTATACGAACCAATTCATCCGGTATTTCTAACTCTCATATCACTGCTACTTCTTAAGATGGGCTTTTAAAATTTGAAACCTAAATTAAATTTAAATAGTTTATTATTGTAAAAATGTTTTTCGTTAACATTGTACAAATAAAATAGTTTTTTTTACAAATATTCTATTTACAATATATTATATCTGCAAAATTCTAATGTTTTACATACATTTTTAAAACTTTTTTTTACTACTTCGGTTAATTAATAGTTACTACGGTCTACGTTTACATGGGTGGCGAATGCCGTTTTAACCAAATCCGAATAAGTTAACTCTTAGAGATAAAGTAATGTAATTTTTTTACAGGTTGAGTTACTTTTAACTCTAAAAGTTAAATGCGGAATATGCCAAATCGGGTTAACCATGGCAACAAATAGGATAAACGAAATTAATGCAACAAGTAAGAACACAATTTGACTAGATTCTATTTTTTAACTTCTATTCATAATACTACCAAATGTATTTTTTACCTTATAAATTATTTTAAAATCTTAGTTTTTTTTTTGCTTTAACGTTTTTTTACCGAACTTGTGGTGCAGGCGCGTGGCGGAGTGAGATAAGGCGGCAGTGTATCAACGCACGGTCGCCGGTTCAAAACTCGGCCACTGGCGCGGCGGTTTGTTTCTCCGGGCGGGCAACTGTCTGGTGGAAAAAATGAACACCTGCACCTCTCGCTGGGGCCAACTTGTTTGGTAGCGTTAGGTCGGCAGCTAGCTATAAACCTAAAAATGCCAAATCTTAACTGTCTAAGCCCCGATCAGCGGGAATAACGTTCGTTAAACGTAAGAGAGAACCTTTTTTTTTACCGAACCCAATTTAAAATATATTTACTTTATACTTATTGAATGATAAATACCTATTAATTTATTTTTTCTTGTGTTATGATGAATATTTGATAAAAAATGACATTTGTAAAAATAACTATTTGCCACACCTGTTTAACAAATTCCTATTTAATTTTTTTCTATTGAAAGCTTATAATTTTCTCCATTTGTAATAACTAATTTAATTTTAATGTGTTATTAGGAAAGTAGATTGCTACATAAATTATAAGAAAGTAAAATGTATAAACGTTTATAAGTCAATTGTAAAAATAAATATAACAAATCTAAAATAGGCTTTCGAACCCTTTGAAAGGAAATGAAAATATAATGTTCGGAAATAACATCGACAAACACAGTTTATGTTAACAAAGGTCGGTTGGGTAGCCTACAAAACGACAACGGCTTCACTGGCAGTACACCCTCGCCCCGCATCCCCTCGGCGAGACTGTACTGCCGGCATTAGAATGACGTTTCAATGGTTGCAATCTAAAGTCATTGTGATGGAAAGGAAAGCAATGTACAAATGTTACTTTTGTAAAATGAAATTGAAATATTTTATCCTAGTGCTAGACGTTCCTTTGTGATTTTTTAAGCCCTTTATAAATTGTGTTTTTTACGACGTCATATTTTTTTTTATTTCGGGTTATGATTTTCAACAATTTGTCTGAATCCGGTACTAAAGTTAAAAAAAAATTCTAATATAGTGGAAATGGAGCATACTGGTCACAGGTTTTTGAATTATTACCTATTATAAGTGTACGTAATGAAATCACAATAAAAAAAAACCTTCAATACAAATCTGTAGATAGCAAAACATCTTATTATCGATAAAACCATTGCGGTTCAGGAGATACCGTAGGTCCAGACACAAAAATTTGTTTTAATAAAAACTTTTACAGCTTTGCATCGAAGCTACAATATATATTATCAAACATTTTTTTACTACTTCGGAAACAGGAAACTTTATTTACCTAAATGAATGTGCTTACAAGTAAATAACTTCAAAGTATTGGTAGGTCGAAATTATAAGAGTGAAACTTATCTTAATCCCGATTTAACCTGGGGAGTAGATTTTTACGGATATTATGCGTTTTTTAACTCAACTCACATGAATGCGCTTGATTGACTGGCTGCTATAATTGTGTTGTACCTAACAATAGAGTCTTATTAGTCTATAATAACGACAAAAGCTGAGTGCGCGTAGGGTAATTCTATTATGTCTACGTAAACATCAAACTGAACGTTATATAGTACCTTTTGTCATTGACACTGTGTTCTGTTATATTTCACTCAAATTATTTAATTTCATAATAAAGTTAAAAAAGCTCTAAAAGCTTAAGGGTATCGATATTTTTGTTTTAATACCATTATTAGATTTTCTGTTGTTGTAAAGTGCTATCAGATATAAACTTTGTAGATGCTAGGGTTGAGAATAAACTTAGAATATTATGAATATTAAGTTTCATAACTTTGTAAAACTGGTAAAACCCTCTCGTGACTCTTAGTGGTGACAATGTTTACATTTTATTTATTGTATAAATAAACAGGGTTTAGACTAAAAACAAGAAAAAATTTACAGTATAGAATAAATATGGCATATAATACACAAAATTAATTAAGACAGCTTAATTTATATTAAAAATCAATATCATTGGCAAAACGTATAAGACGGGAAAATAGGGAACTTGAAAAGATGAAAAAAAGAGAAAGTAACAACTTTTAAAGTAATACTTGAAATGCACGTTAAAATATTTACTTAATATTATAAAACAATTTAAATAATTACGAAACATTTATTTATTAGGACATTTTTATTATCAAAATTTGAATTATTTTAAAAATTGTCTTATAAGTTATAACTTTGTATTTTTGTTGTGTGCGCATTATAATATTAGTATAGTAGGCGTTTTAAACAAAGTTTACTTGTCTAAAGAAAAACACACACACTTATAGATTTTTTAAATTTAAAATTACGCTTCAACTTTTTTTTTAAAAATTCGAATTAGTTTCAAATTTGTATGGAATATTCTTTGGACATAATAATACATACAAAAACTCATGCGGATGGTACATTACGGAAATAATTCTTCATTATTTGTATCTACAAAGAAATGAGCCTAACAATTAATGAGTCTAACCCCTACATAGAACAAACCCTTCGCCCAGAAATAGGTCCAACTCTTCCTTAACAACCAGGATTCCAACTTCACAGTGCGTTCACTTAGTATTCTTAGTATCTTAGTATTCTCATTATCTGTAGAAATAAAAGCACCCCTGTCTTATTTTTCGAATTAAACGACGTAGTGACATTGCTCTGTAAGCGTAACTAATAACTAATTTCCTGGTAACACAAAAAAAAAATTTAGAGACGTTGGTGTCGTAACCTACCTTTCAAAAAAAAAAAAATATGTTAATGACGGTAATGAAAATTATCTCACTCTTAATCAAAACTTGTATTTATTTATTTTTTAAAAATAGTATTTATTTTAATTAATTGATAGAAAACTATAAATTCAAGTTATACTAAATTCAATTTAACTTGTTGTTCGAAAAATATTTGTAACATATTGTAAAAATACAAAAAAATTATAAATATCGTATTTAGCAAAGGATGTATCTTTAAAAAAAATAAATTTCAGTATATTACACTTTTGAAAGAAAAAACACTGTGCGTCGGCTGGTATAATAATGATTATATTTCAGTGTTTTCTTCCATGAAAATATGAAATCTGTGATAAACATTAAGCAATTCTTATTGAAATAAATAAAATAACTTAAACATTTTCCCCCCTTTTAGTGTGAAATTTGGTATTTTGGAGTTACGCTCGTTGCTAAATTATAGACTGACGATATATATATATAAAATAAAATAGTACAAAAATCATTATTATCATCAACTTAACGGACTTTTAAAGTTTCTAAATGAATTCGGTATTCGGGACAGTTCGTTGCCGAAGAGGGGGAAGGTAGCTATTTTTCATCGGACTATTGCTTGCGCGGCAAACGGAGCACGCCTGTGACCGAGTGTCAAACCGGCGACAGTGAGCGCTAACAAACTGCCGCCTTATTCATCTGGCTACTCCTCCTGATAGTTAAAATTAATAATATATTTTTAAATAATATTTAGGTAGGAAATCAAATAACAATACTACATATACTTCAATAATAATTCTTAAATATTTAAAAATGTTTACAATAAAAAATTACCTTATACTTTTTAGTCCAGTACAGTAAAGTGAGACATAGTTGGGAAAAAGTAAAGTGGACACACACACACACACACACACACACACAAACACCACATAGACTCCAGTCAGGACAGAGTCACGGATTCTGCCAAGTGTTTGATGTTAGAATTCTCATGCTTTACTGTGCGTTATCTTCGGTAAAACGTTTGAGTTCTATAACCAAACCCCGGCACCGGGCACGTTTAACATTATAATGAATTCGTTGGATCACAACGGTCAGTGGCGGACTTTTAAAAAAAAAATTTGGGGGGGGGGAGGGCGGGGTCCTGAAAAATAACATGTATGTCAAAGGCATTATTTCTATTAAAAAATAATTTTGGGCAAAATTGGCTAAGTACGCTAGGATGTAGTCCGAGGCGTCTAGCACACCTTGAATAAAGGTCTAACTCGTTGGACCAACAAGAAAACCTTGAGAGAGATGTGAGTTATTGGCTTTAAGTAGGGATTTATGGCAGCTAGTCAAAGTTTAAGATCACTGCCCTGTAAAATCATTGAAATCGACTTACACACTTATTCACAGTTGTTACAGATATATTTACCCCTCTCCCCCTCCCCCCTAAATCCGCTACTGACGACAGCAATCGAATTTTTGTACAGATCGCAAAACAAATAAAATCCTTTTTTTTAGTTCTCATTTAATAAGAAAAAAAATGTTGTGAATACAACATATATGCCCCCACCCCCATTCCCAACCCATCCCTCATCTTCTACCTCCTATCTCTTACCCCCTATCTCCTATATTCTATCACATAAATGTAACATCCCCACCCCCAGTCCACCCCATTCCCATTTCTATCCCCATTCCCACCCTCATAAGAAGAACATATAAGGATATAAGGATATATAAAAGGATAAATTTTTGACGTCGGTGTCGATTTTTCCGATTGTGTTCCAAAGTAAAAACATATCTCTAATTTCTTAGCTCTCTTATCTTATCAGATAAATCAGCTGATTTTTTTCGTTATGAAAACCGGCGTCGTTAATTGGTGTCGATTTTCCGTGTGTGTGCCAAAGCAAAGACATACAAATGTCAAAAATATGTTAAATTCTTTGGTGTTTTTCTCGATTTTAAAGAAGAAGTGGTGAACGTTTTAAATGTTTGGCCCAATATTAAGTACCTTTCAGGTATGATTTCAGATTTCTTAGAGGAGCTTAATGAATAAATTGGTTCAGATTTTTAGAAGATATGTGGGTCCAAACATGAGAAAAAAAAATTATAAAAACACATTATTGTAAAGACAATACTTTCTCAGCTATCTGTCGAAGCTAAAAAATACATTTTTTACAACTAATTTTACTTGTGGAGTATAATATAATGGCTATTAATTAATTATTTTAAAAAGTAGTTTTAACTGTATCTGTTGCCTGTTCGATAACACGTTTTAACTAAATACTTTTAGAGTTATTAACATTTAAAATTGAAGGCAAATCGATTTTAATATACAATATTTTGTGTACTAAAAGACGTGGTGGGGACCAGTATAACTGAGAGAGAAATTTGGCAACGGTAGTTTTTTTTCAAGTTAATTCTCTCCCCGAAAAAATGTATAAAAAGGGCATACTTTAACATACAAATACTCATTTATTGCGTCTGATTTCAGTTAGAACAATAGATCGAATAAGAAAAGCAAAATACGGCTCTAGATCACTTAGGCCAAACCCAACTGGATCGGACTCTCAAACGGACCCCATTGGAACATCGAGTAAACGTCTTGTCTAGAGCCAGGCAGGCCGAGGCAGCGTCATTGATAATCATAGCGGCTAACGACTCGCAGTCAGAATACCTGAGTAGCAGAAGGGAGGCTCAAAATCTATGGAATCTATGATATACGCAACCCGAATAACTCCCTCTCGATGGCCAGAAACTTTAGAAGGTCTCGATTCTTTGGCAACAGAGATGGTCAAGAGAGCCGCTCCACCTCCGGTACCACCTAGTGTAATGGCAACTGTTTCGCCAACTATCCTCCCACCTGCTATATCTGCTAGTGTCAAACTGGTTAAGACTGTAAAAATACTTTTCTCTAGACGAAAGTCCATATAAAGTAGAAGGCTGTGAAGAAGATATGTGTGCAATATACACTAAATATTCTATAAAATAATAAAACAACACAAATTAAAAGTTCCGTAAAATTCCCACTATCCTATTGAATGTAGATATTATCCCAATAATTTTTCAAAGTAATACTTACATCTCCTTTTCACACCTTAATCTTTAGTTTTGTTATGTTAGCGTTTTCTTTTTTTACATACGTCATGCTTGACAAATATAAAATAATTTAAATATTGCCAATAATAGTCGCTATATGCCACGATGTAGCTCTTGACATTTATCTTATTTTGTCTATTAAGGTTTTCATTGCAATGACGTCAATCAAAACACATTTGAGCGTAAGCGATCTCGTCTGTAAATTATTTAGTGTGTCTTTAGCTGCTTCAAAGTTTTAGTATAGATCAATACAAATGCATATTTTGGTTAAGAATCAGAACTAAGAAGTAAATATGTCAATATAATACTATCATACTTTATAATATGATTAAGGATGTTTTTACCCGAAAAAATAGCTGTTGTGATGTTCTGAGTTATATTTTACAATGGTACATAAATGGTTTCTTTATAAGTTATAACATTCCTAGGGAAACAATTGCAATCAACAAATCGTTTTTCAAAAATAAATGCCCCCTTACAAATTATACTACTTTATTTTTATTATACATAATGAGAAAAAAGAACAAGTGGAGGTTAAATATAATAACGTAAATAATATAGAGGATAAATATATCTGCTATTTACGTTGTTGAGGCAGTTTATTGATGATAAGGTTTGATATCAATTGTCATAGGGTGGATATATTTATCCTCTATAATATTTACTTTGTCTTTAATTTTGTCATATTTTTAATGAGCTATAAAATTACGGACAGACCTTTGACAATTAATGTAAACATTAAAATTGTTTGTTTTATCACCAACTAAATAAGGCGTATTAATTGGTTCTGTAACATTAAATACCTATTAGTTTAATAATTATAATTTCAATATAAGTATTATTTATATAACGCAGTAAATTATATTTTAACAAAAATTAATATTAATATCTACTTGTTATAGTAGTTGGAGCTCTTTTTCTAACAGTACAAAGATAATGAAATTTCCCTCTGGGTTTTTGGATTGTCTGGAACAGTTTAAGACTGTGACTGTGACTAGCCTTTGACTATCTCAGGAAGTTATTGGGAATTTCTAATATCTTATTACGATGTTATTTGGTTTAAAATCAATGTTAATATAGCTGGTTTTTGTATTGTAAAAGAATATGATTCCAATTCTTCAACATAAAAATGATTTTGTGTATTAATGTTAACGATAACTCTAATTTAAACAAATATATTCGTAACCCTGAAGTAATTGCCAGACATCGCAGTCCATAAACTCACCCTATATAATGGTAAAAATGGCAAAGGTAAATAATAAATGATTAATATAATAAATAGCTAATCAAGGTATTAATATGATTAATATTACAGAGATATTTAATAATTAAGATTTAGCTCGCAACAAAACAAATATTTTAACTTAAACTTTATGTCTTTAAGTAACTTTAAAGACATTGGTAACTGTTTAGCTATATTTTTGATTTCGTTCTTATTTAAAGTAATGACATTAGGAAGATAAATATTATTTCTAGTGATTGTTTCTTAAACTGTGTTAATTTTAGTTGTGATAGACTTAAATGTAGTTTGTATTAAACCTCCACTTGTTCTTTTTTCTCATTATGTATAGTAAAAATATAGTAGGTAATTTTTAAGGGGGCATTACTTTTTGAAAAAAGATTTGTTGATTGCAATTGTTTCCCTAGGAATGTTATAACTTCTAAAGAAACCATTTATGTACCATTGTAAAATATAACTCAGAACATCACAACGGCTATTTTTTCGAGTAAAAACATCCTTAATTATATTATTAAGTATGATAGTATTATACTGAAATACTTACTTCTTAGTTCTGATTCTTGACCAAAATATGTATTTGTATTGAAAAATACAGATATTGAAGTCCGTATCATATAAATGAATAAATATGACTTAGTAATCACATATTAACGATCTATACCAAAACTTTGAAGCAGCTAAAGACACACTAAATAATTTACAGACGAGATTGCTTGCGCTCAAATGTGTTTTGATTGACGTCATTGCAATGAAAACCTTAACAGACAAAATAAGATAAATGTCAAGAGCTACATCGTGGCATATAGCGACTATTATTGGCAATATTTAAATTATTTTATATTTGTCAAGCATGACGTATGTAAAAAAAGAAAACGCTAAAATAACAAAACTAAAGATTAAGGTGTGAAAAGGAGATGCAAGTATTACTTTGAAAAATTATTGGGATAATATCTACATTCAATAGGATAGTGGGAATTTTACGGAACTTTTAATTTGTGTTGTTTTATTATCATAACTATTAAGTTTACTGTATTTTCATAAAAGTGAGTGCTAGTTTTCCAAATCACCTTCTACTTCCGTCTATTTAATACCTTCTATTTGGTTTACTATTTGGTTGTATTGTATTGTATAGGTTACTGATAATTATTTCGATATTTTATAATTGAATAATAGAAGAATATTTAGTGTATATTACACACATATCTTCTTCACAGCCTTCTACTTTATATGGACTTTCGTCTAGAGAAAAGTATTTTTACAGTCTTAACCAGTTTGACATAAGCAGATATAGCAGGTGGGAGGATAGTTGGCGAAGCACTTGCCATTACTTTTGGTGGTACCGGAGGTGGAGCGGCTCTCTTGACCATCTCTGTTGCCAAAGAACAGAGACCTTCTAAAGTTTGTGGCCTTCGAGCGGGAGTTATTCGGTTTGCATATATCAAAGATTTCATAGATTTTGAGCCTCCCTTCTGCTACTCAGGTATTCTGACTGCGAATCGTTAGCCACTACGATTATCAATGACGCTGCCTCGGCTTGCCTGACTCCAAATCGCCGTTCGAGAGCCGCAATGGGGTAGAAATCACTTACGTCAATTTAATACCTTCTATTTGGTTTACTTTTTGGTTGTATTGTATTGTATAGGTTACTGATAATTATTTTGATATTTTATAATTTAATAATAGAAGAATATATAGTGTATATTGCACACATTTTAAAGTTAATACATATAATTTATTAATAATTTAGAACTACTATGTTTTAAAATATAAATATTTTTAAATAACATAAAATAGAGTACACGAAAATGTAGAACACACACTTTAAGATTTTTTGGAAAAATACATGTTTAGTGGTTATTGCACCTATTATTGAATTATATTTTAAAGATAATACATTTAATTAAAGGATTACAAGTTTAAAACTACTATGTTTTAGAATTTAACAATTTTAGAATTCACAGGAAATGCAGAACAACATATTTTAGAGTCTTAGAAATATTATATATTTAATGTTATTACATAATTTATTTAAATTTAAATTTATATACACAACAAATGAAGAAAACAAAATTGTAGTATTTTAGAAATACCTATATATAGTGATTTGTGTACAATGTTAATACATATATTTAATATTAAATACATTTGTAAATTTAAGTGCTAAATGTTTTAAATAAAAATTATTTTCTGTATCTTATGTTATATTAACAACCAAAAAATTATCTTATCAATAGCCAAAAGAAATGTTTAATGATAAATTTTTTTGTTGATTTTAATATTATACACCATTTGATCATTATGAACGTGTGATAATACTAAAATATATCGGATATACTTACTCTACTTTGTTATTTGTTCTTTTTACTTTCTTGTACTTAACTATTCATTAATTTACTTTTAAATCATGTATTCGATTTTATATAACGTCTTATGTGAATGATAGCAACCATTAGCGAGTTGAGAATAAAAATGTTCTATGTTCAATATTTACCGAAAAACTGTTTTTTTTACTTAATTATAATAATTTTTATTTGACCGTCTTTTGATCCATCGACAGTGTCTCTACCTACATTCATTATAAAGATATACAAAATGAAAATTTTATAGGTTTGTAAAATTTAGATAATGTAAATTATTTTAATTTGAATTTGAAATAACTTTTTCAAACACAATTACAGGATTTTAACCAATAGGTATTTTTCATTCTCATCCTGCGCATTGGTATTTATAGACATACGTAGAAATAGGTTTTGAAACTATAATATAAATAGTGATTACTATTATGTGATGTTTTTCCATTTTAGCTTCAAGCTAGCTTGTAGTAACATTCTTATATATTTACCATGAATTTTATTCAAAATCTATCTTCTTAAAAATAAAACTGTAATTTAAATTCAAGGAGTAGCTTTTATTTCTTACAATATGTTTAAAACCACTGTCAAATTATTGGCAAATAACTTCCTTAAAACTGAAGGATAATGGATCAGCAGTGAGTAAATGTAACTAAGGTAAGGTCTACTTATAACAGAAAACCACTGTATCATATAGAAAAACGACAAAACTTTTACAATTTTTAAGCTAGAGAGCACAATTTTTTAAAACAATTTTTTGAATTCAAACAACAACATAAACTAAGAACATCTCAGACGTCTTATTTGTAAAAAATCGCCAGAAAAACCAAAAAAAAACGATTGCCTCGAATGCTTTAAAAATGTAATTCATTGAGGACAGCTCAAATTCGAAAAGATTTAAGACACACTCACACCAATAAAATGCTATGTTGTTCTATTTTTGAAAAGTTTACGTACAGCTGTACTCCCATCCCAAGATTTAAAAAAAAATTCCAGGGAACTGTAGCTTCCTGTTTTTAATAAGTAAAAAAAAAATACTATTATCTATTATATAAAACGCTAAAGTGACCTCGGATACAAACATGACTTCTCCGTTTTGATAATTATTTTCCTCATACCGGTATATATGAGGCGAAGAGACCCCTTATTGCAAACAAAACTTTGTGTTATTGGGCCAAAATCATTCTCCTATCTTGAAAATTGGCAGAATTATATATTTTGTTTGAATTTATTTTCGGAAAATGGGTTTTTTTGGAAAAGACAATTTATAGTTTAGATATATTGCCGTATTTTTATTTTACATACTTAAGGAATAAAACTTAACCAACAATTAAATTAAAATGCTCTTTAAAACATAATTTTTTTTTCTTAATTATATTTCCGACCCACCTCGATATTTCGGTCTCTCCTACGTTTTGGATCTCGCGAATAATACAACGAAAGTTTAGCCACTGTGCTGGCTTTCTTAAATACGTTTTTTTATCTATTGTAATAATTTTGTAAATATTAAGTATTGCAGATTTCTTTGCATTTAATTGAAAAATAAGTTTAAAATATTTTCAACCATTGAAAAAGTTATTTTAGGGTAGTTGATTAAAGGTTAACTTGACAACGTTTTCATACACGTTACTTTCTATGGTTTAATTTAGTTTAATAGTTGTATTTTTATATAAACAGAAAACAACAAAAAATACTAGTTTATCTGGAGCAGTAAACTAGTGCAATTTTGGGCAAAATAAAGGTATAATATTTTTTTTAAGAAACATTAAATTTTAATCTCTTCAAATTGTATTCAGGTTACTTGTAGTAGACTAACATATAATTTTAACACAAACATTTTTTATTTAAAGTATAATATATAACAAGGGTGCCTACAGGAGAGGAGCAACCCCCCTAGCTTCTCTGCAAGTTAAAAACATGTATATCTAATAGCCCAAATTTATAAAATCTTTTACAAAATCATAGACGGCCCTCCCCTGAATTTTTAACTATGGACGCCCTTGATATATCGTTATAAATCGTTATATATGGTATCATACCGTTATATATCGTTATTTATCGTTTAATATCGTATTTTGTGGTTATACATCGTTATATATCGTTATATTAGTTAAATATCGTTTTATTTTACTGAAAGAAAATAGCCAATTTGGTTTGGGGGGCTAATGCTCTCTTACCTCTAAGTCCGCCTATGTATATACTATATAGTTTGAACACCTAACAGAGAAAGAAGTGAGAGGGAAATCGATTCGGTTATGGGGGAGGGGGAACGTATGCCAATGGAAGTAGTAACCACAAATTCATTATATATGTTGCAAAATCAAAAACAAATATAAAAAACCATCCTTTTTAGCAGTTTTGTACGATTTTGAGAAATTTTGTACTTTTTTAAAACTCTATATCTCAGTACCTATGCGTTCAAAAAAAAAAGTTGTATTTATAAAAATTGTAGGAGATTTAGTCTTCTACAATTTACTAATTCAATGTTATCTGCTAAAATTAACCGTTTTCGAAATATATCGAAAAACCAAAAAAGTGCGAACATTTTGGGGGTTTCCCCCTCCCCAAAATTCCACAAGGTTTTTTTGTTGAATAATTTGGGTGAAGCACTACTGGTCACCCATAAACAATTCCCAAAGTTTCCATAAAGTCGGAATTTTTCGAAGGTACCCCCGCGATTAATCCTCTGACGACTGGACTATTTCCCAAGTGCGTCCCGGTTTAAGTATTTTTTAATACATTTTCATTTGAATAAATTAAAAATACCACAGGGCCGAGTAAAACAATACCTAATAATTATTATTTTGACAATTAATCTAAAAAATAATGATAAATAACGAAAACAATTATAATGCGTGTGTCAAATCGGCGCACTTTAAAATACAAATATATTTGAAATTCTCATGCAGCATATTACTGTAATGTTGTCTACTACTATGGATCGGTGTTTATTTTAGGATTGTATTTTTCTCAGAACTTTTACTCTCTTGAGAACTTATGACGTCTCGTCAAAGTTTAATTCGCTTGATGCTTAATTACAACTCTAGGCATGGTTGGTGATAATATTTGCATCGTTTACTGCGGTAGTGTAGTTAGCGTACTTACAAACCTTTGCTTTTGGTAGCGACATAAATAGCCAGTTGTTGTCGATTGAACTTACCCTCGAGCAAACCAAATGAGATAGTCGAGTGAAAAAATACAAAGTATTTAAAATTCATAACCTGTGAGTGTTGTGTGCACCCATACAGCAAAAATATATGTTATTTAAATAAATGTTTTTAGGTGATTTTTAAAAAAAATATGCTAAACTTCCAACTATGTCTACAGTATTAGCGAGAAACTTTGTCACTTTAAAAACAAATTAATTAAAATTAATTAATACTGAGACTTTTACTTTCATTGTTTTTATGAGTATTCATACTTGATAATTATAATTTTGTCTAAAATGTCTATAACAATTTATTGAGATTTTTTACAATACAAACAATAGAATATTTTTAAAATACAAAAGAATTATTTTTTAAATATTTTCATCATTTTTTTGGGAAAATTAATTTTTTATAATGCTGTATATCACTTTTAAATTCCATTACAATTATTGTTGTATTATTTTTTATATTCTAACAAGAATCTTGTGAGTTTTCTGGCAATGATAGAATTTTGTTAGGGGTAAATAAAATAAGATATTTTACATTTTAGACATACCGTTTTATTTTCACAACATTTTAACATAATATTTATTTTCATAATCCTTGAATCACATTATTAATGGTAATTATTATGTTTTTTAAAATTATAATTAGTAATAGTACTTAGTTAATGTAACTAGTGAGTAACGTATCTTTCGTTTGCACAAAATTATTTAACGAAATTTAATTTAATTGTATTAACTAATTAAGTTGTTAAAAAAATAAAAACTGAATGCACTGTCAAAATTAGAAAATGGTATAAATTATATAAGAATAAAATAGAAAAAAAATCAATGAAATAGCACATAAGTAATTTTTGCTTTACGTTTGAATTAACTATTTTGATGGGTAAAACAACTAAGACAAACGTTATTATGACACAAATAAACGTATACATAAATCAACATAAACATATGAATCATAATACAATACTAAGGTAGGTAAATAAATTTAATTAGGTAAACAGGACGATATTTTTCAGTTAACAACAACAATAATTAAGAAATGAACACACTAAAAATGAATAATGGTAATTTTGCATATGCGATACAAGACAAAAATTTCATAACAACTAATGCAGAAATTATTAATAATAATATTGTAAAGTTAACAGAAATAATTACACGATTTCCCATAAATAAATGCCTATATTTTTTAATAATAAATATATAATTTGAAATAATATTTATTAAAATACAATAATATTACTTGGTGGAATATTTAAATATTAGTTTTTCTTTAAAATTTACTATTGCGTAATAAATACTAATACCAATGATAATAGACATGTTTATTGAATAACTTAAATTTTCCATGTGTATAGTATTAGTATAATTGTATTTATTTTAGAATTTACAACTATCCCTAGTAAATTAAAGTCAAGTATTATAGACAATTATTAATGTATAAATATCTTAAACGATAAATACCATAATTAAGAAAACAGTAAAAATATATCATAGATAATAAAAATTGAATGTGATGTAGCATAATATTATAGAAGATAATATAATATGTAATTAAAAATATTTATGAATTAACTTCAATGAACTTTGACCAAGTCGGGTCACATTTATTTTTCATCCAATATACTGCGCTAACAGAGTTTAATAACAATAATTGGCTGTTTTTACAAAACATTAAATAGTAATAATTTTAGCGAATAAAATTCTCATCGTTATGAATTATAGCAAAACAAACTCATTAGCAGTATTTTCGGGTTAATCGTAAATTTAAATTGTTTAAATAAAAAAATGTTATTTATGTTTTTACTCACGTTTATTGAATAGTCATTTGTCTGTACTCCATATAATTTATTTACATTTATTATTGCTTACATTGAATATAAAAATATGTAATGTGTAAATTATGTGTTGTACTAAAACTTTGTGAAAATTATATTTATTAGGTACCATAAATCAAAAATTCTTTTGAATGAATTTCAGAAAAATATATTATTAATAGAGGTCGTATCACAATAATTTGACAGAATAACATATGAAATTTAAGTAAATCTGACATATCATTGTGATATTATGTCTATACATAAATCCATATTTTATATGTATATATGTATAACTAGATAATTATCGGACATAAAAAATGTATAGCTATTTTACGTATTAATAAAGAAACGATTTGGTACAAAGGAATGTGATCATATGTTAGAAAGAAAACTTTGACAACTGGCTTTGTTCAAAGTAATTTTTTTTTTTTTATACAACAAAATCAATAATGAGCCTAATCTCCAATTCTATAAGTACAACACGATAATCGAAAAAATAATAATATTTAAACATTTTAGAAGTTAAATTTTGGTACCAAAAATTGTGCCCGTCGACGACAACTGACAATTTAAACATAATAAATCTCAGTCTTTTTTGACCTTAACGGATAAATTGCCTATTATTTAGCTCCCATACCAGATTTTTTTCTTAGAATTTTCTGGTAGTATTCGGATCACGTCGACATTTTCGGTCCAAAATTCATTACGTTATTCTTCTATCTCCCTGAAAGCAAAATTGTTTTGTTTTTCAGTTGTGATATGATTTGTCTTACATTATGTAATAAATGATTTAATGTCTATAAATTCCACCAGGTAATAATATTGTACTAACTATTTTTATTCACTATACCTACACTACAATAAATACACAGTTCAAATCAAACATTTTATAAAATACCAATAAAAAAACGTGTAATTATTCTAACAAGTGTAGATTATAGCAGTATATACATAAACCAGTTTAATCGTAGTCTAAATGCTAGTCAGATTAAGTTTATGCCCACTAAGAGCTCAAAGGATAAAATATACACCACGATTTTGGAATTAATGAAAACCATACATTTTAATAAATAGATTGTTTTATAATCTCATATGCTATGGCCTATGATATAAAACATATTAATATGCATTTTGTACGATAATTTGTTAGTAATCGTGATACACCCTCTATTATTCGTATTGTTTTTTTTTACAACGGCTCTATATTTGTTTGTTAATACGATAATAAATGTATACAACAACAACGGTAATAATAAAACTAATAGCAGGAAGTAGTTCTTGTAATAATGATAATTATTCTATTATAAAAAGTAATCAACCGTGGTAACAATAACCATGTAATAATCTGAAATTTGGACAAGTACCTTTACGGTTTGTGAAAGTAACTTGGTAGATATGCAAATAAGAAATAAATATCATATTCAAACTCAAACAAAAGTTTTTAATGTTTTAAAAGTTAATTCAGATTTTCATTTTCCCGTTTAGATAGTAAGATAACATTAATTTCTAAACTTAACATAATTAGGTTTAAGATATTTATTTAGATAATTTTGCGCAGGCGTGTGGTAAATGTTATAATATCGTTTATATTATAATATAGGAAAATCATTACAATGCTATAATTCTAAATAACGATATGTGTAAAGGAGACTTATGTTACATAGTAAGTAGATACACTTATGTACTTGTGCGTTTAATTTGTTTTTTTTATTTTAACATAATCGTCTTGGCCTCTGTAAAATGCATTTATAAAATGAACAATCTCATTTTTGATTTTGTTTGTTATTACAATAAGAATATAAGGCCATGTTATCTATGGTAAACATGTTATCTACATGTTTGTTATGTAAACGCTATTTGTATTAAAATTAACTCAAAATGATAAAACATATTCTATTTAACTTTAAATTTAGCTCGAGAGTGACTATTTAATATTACACGAAAGAAGGGACATATCAGTCAAGTTTATCGACGCATAACAGATACAAGCGTTCGGGATATCACATCAATCTGAATATTCACAATAATGAATAATGACTGTTTCCTGTTAACTTTTTTAAATATAATATTATATTTCCGGCATTTGCATGGTAGCAGTTAAATGGGAACCGTAGTCTTTAAGTGTTGTTAATAAATATAGTTTTCTGGTTGGCTCCTGTTTTATTGTATATACATACATAAAAGGATCATTATTTCGGGTTTGATAGAACTTCAATAGTAACGTCCCCTAAATTTATTCAAAAGTAAAAAAGGAGGCCCTCAAAATTTTAAGACCATAATTTTTATGGTAACAAGTGCCTCACGCACGTACTTTCCCTGTAAAAAAGAAACTAATGGAGTCATTGACAGATTTAAAAATATATATATATATATTTTCTACCTAAAAATTGGTGGCTTTTTTTTTTTGCTATGAATTATTAGTATAAGCAAAAATCATTTTTCCCAAGCTTTTACGACTTATCCTTTCAATCCATAGTAACCTATTCTATTTGATTAACATGAGAAATTTTAGTTTTTTTATTGAAAAAAAAAGTAGAATTAAAAAAAAATCAAAATTTGTAAAACTTAAAAAAAAGATGTAATGCTGAAATAAGATACTTCAAATCCACTCTCTTGATAATTCACAATACAAATTGTAATAATTATTTTAAATCATGAGGTTGTACATAGAGTTGAACTAGGAATCGTCTATTTTAGGGATTTCTTGTTTGAAAAAGCTTTCTATCGATTAAAAGGGTAACTCGTAAGAAAAAAAAAGAAATTAAAAAATTCAGTCTAATATATATGTAGTATACTATTTTTGTTTATACGTCGACAATTTTAATCTCCGAATTAGTAAAAATGCCACCTGAAAATTATATTTAATAAGAATACCTATAATACATATAGACACGGCTCCTATTTACCAGCTGCCACGCAAAAATATAATATTATATATTTTGATGCCATTTTGCTACATTCATTATTCTATTATATATATATATATATATATATATATTTATATACAATTTCATATTAATATATTATACAGATTATACAGACAGTATAATATAATATTATCATTAAAAAAATGCTAACATATAAACAACACTTATCTTAGATCATAGATGTAGCGTGCGCCTGTCGCAAAATATGACCAGTATAACCCTCCACTTTTTACTAATTTTGTTTTTAATATATTTCTATTGCACTGTTACCTGAAATTTGTTTGTGGTGAGAGATTATATTGGTCACAGTCCGGCTATACAGGTAACATATATGTACATATATATTTGTTTTAACATTTCAAGAGATTAATCCGGTATACAGTCATTAATTTTAAGAAAATATAGAACTAATTAACAAGGAGTCGATAAAAATATTTGGAAAGAAACAACAGATGAGAATGAACAATAATAAACAAAATCGAACTACTTATAATGGTAACGATCTGGGGTTATTAAAATCTAATAAATTTGATAAAATTGTGCACCGCACAGAGTTTCTTACAATAATAATAATTTTACATATTACGATATTAGAAAATATTAATAATAAATAATTGATAAACATAACATTATGACCGTATTGTACATTTTACATAAACGTACTTAACATTTGCTTATGCCAGTCGCAATAACAATAACTATACAATATTCAAAACGGAAGTTTATAAAACAAAGTATAATCACAACAATAACGGACAGAATAAAATGTACAATATTAGTTAATAACATTTATTGGTAAAATAATATTAATACCTTGTAGGTAGGTACTAACGGTATGGCTGGCGGTATTCAAATTTAGGACTCCGGTCGTCAGTAATAGAATATAATATAATAAATATTGTTTTAAGTATTATCATTATTATTATTTGTTTTTATGGTCATTCCATGTCCAAAAAGTTTACTTTTTTTTGCATAGCTGCCGCCTGCTTCTGACGCTCGCCTTCCAGGAGCACGGACTCTGTGATAGGAGAGCTTCCAAGGTTCTCCAGTAATCTTCGACTCCTGGTTGGCATGTCCGGAAGCAGGGGCATAGCATGCGGGGGATTGAAGTCGGCGATAGGTGAGAAATCCACCAGGCGCTCGTACAGACCTCGAGTGTAGTCTTCAGTCCGGAAAGTGGACGCTATTCGCTCCATGGACCTTTCCTCGGCGATTTTCTCGGCTGCCCGTGTGAACACCTCGCACTCATCTTCGGTCAACGGTCGTCTTCCGAATCCACCTAACATCATACATATTGTGTTCTTTTTGGTTGAAAAACATCATCGCTACCCACCTTGCCCTCATGGCCCGTATGTTCCTAACAGCGTCAACAGCTAGTCCTACTGAGTGAAATCAGACTACTATGTTTACCCATTGGTTCTCAGTTCCGCGACTATTCCAACGAGAAAAAATTAAAATAAAGTTCAACCCATCCGATTTATTTTTATCCTTCTCAGACGTCATAGTATGCATATTAATGTTACCTTTATTATAAAAAGTACCTATAATTTGCTGGCTTGACATAAACCTATAATAAGTAAAGAGAACGAATTGATTTGTAAAAAGTATTCGTATTTATATTTTAAATGTTAACTTGCATTTTATATTATAAAAGATATCAAAAACACTGCCTTACTAAAAATACGCTGACAATTCAACTGATAACTAAACATGTTTAAAAACTTAATGGTCGTTCAAGAATCAAGTGTCAAATTGGACTAAACGTTTGATATAAAAAGATGACATATAGTCATATACTATATACCATTTTTACTGCATTTTCACCTAAACGTTTTTATGCAACAAATCTTGCATTCAATTTAGAGATGAACTAAAGTAAATAAAACCTAATCAATTCCTAAATTATATGTTATTTTGAAGTTTCTGAAAATGCCAAAAAAAATGTTTAACATTGGTAATAAAATCTTTACAAAAACCAAAATGTTTTGTTTTTAGTGTCAAATAATATACTGCATAGAGTCTCGCCAAGATGGGTGTTTAACCGAGACAAATGGTTTAAATCGACAACTATTCAATACACTCTAGACGAACCGATTAATTATGTGCTCTTGACATATTCAATAGAAAAACGAAAAATTCCAACTTTATAAACGTGGTTGACGTTTTATTTTAAGCTTAAATTTGCTGCGTAAACAAATACAAAAAAAAGTCAATTAAAAAACCTTCTTTATAAGTAGTTTAACATTAGTGTATACTATTTCTATTAATTTACGGTAAAGGAGATTAAAAAATAATAATATTGTATCTTATATATGTACATAGTCTTCAGAATTACATAAAATAGTATTTTTGTTAATACTAAAAGTGCTGCACGTCAGTTATTTTGTTTAATGATTAAAAATATTTTTAGTTTTTACCTAGTAGTTTTTTGAGGATAACTTTAAAAAGTCAAATATCAACCTACATATTTGACTTACCTATTGAAATGAGAATGATATAATAAATACTGTGACACATTTAATTTCTCTTATAGATCCGCGAATTTGGGAACGTAATGGGAACTTGCCGGCATTAAATGGGAAGCCAATACTATGCTTTAGTTGAGAAGTATCCAAATATGGACATACGGCATGTGTGAGGTAACTAATTGGCTTCCTATATAATGCCAGAATGATAAGGGAAACTTTCCATTATCTTCTTTATGTTCCGATGCTATGCGAGAGAGTTTGGTGTGGAGGGAACTGCGGGTGAGTAATATCCGAGGAGTATACCTTCAAATTCTAATTACAAAAGCGTTATTTATTCAAAATGGTTATGGATTAGATATTATTTATAATACATTATTTAAATTTTAATTAATAAATCAATTGTTGTATAGGTTCCTGCTTCACTTTAAAAAATTATCCTCTAAAACTACCATTTAAAATAATTATTTTACATGAATAATTTAAACCCGTCTAACATGTACAAAAAACTGATTTGTGGTTATTAGTATAAAACTATATATAAATCGTATAAATGGTTTATCATATAAACCAAACTTTATTGGGAATAAAACAACGCAATGTAAATGTTTAAACATAAATACACAACAGTTGTAAAATTTGTGAAATAAATTAACTAAAAGTTAGAACTGTTTAATATCAAACGCGGCACAATTTTGAATTTTCTTAAAATAAATACATCGATTTTTCATTGATAATTGACCTTATAAATAATATTATGAATATAAATGCAAAAATTTAGGAACAGTTAGCAACATAAAGGTAAAGAAAATAATAAATATGATTGTAGAGGACTAAAAAAGTTAAAGCGACGCTATATTAAAAAAAGTATGTATTTTTTATTTTAGAATATGCAAGTTTAACAATATAGTTGTTTGCTTTTTCTTAATTATAATCACTACACAATAAACCAAAACTCTGTTAAACTTTTTGCGCTATTTTTAGGAATATAGTCTACAGTTGTAATTCTAGCAATAACGTAAATATCTAATATACATATTTACGCTTTGTAGTGTTCATATAATTAGAGTTTAATCTTACATAATATTTGAGATGTAATCACATTTCTTACATTGACAGTCAAAATTTAAGGAGCTCTTAGATAAATTTCAAAACTATTAGAAAGCGATATTAAAGAAACCTCTGTAGAATAATTGGTTTTAAATTAACAAACTGTGAAAATGTATGATGATAACCTAATTACCGTGTGGGTAGTTATTTATTAACTGATAATTGGACAGGCGAAACATTTCAACACAAATACGTCGTGGATGTAAATTCAAACTATGAAAGTATTGTAAAAATAGAACATGTAATAGAAGACATTTTAAATAAATTATTCTGAATAATAGTACACAGAGGTATACAATCATTTAAAGATCTATAAATTAAAAATATAATTATTACCTCTACAAAATAAAATAATCTTCTTAATAGCCCGTTTAGTTCATAAATTTAAAGAATACTACTTATTGTCCACATGCAATATTTTCCAAACATGTTTGAAAAAGTACATGTTGTTTTAATGTATGTGTCTGAAGACTGTGAAAAAATTACTACTCTACACTAATGATTTGTATTGAGTTACATCAAAACATGATTTATTAAGAATAAGATATTCATTTTTTTTTTAAATAATTTCAATTTTGTAGATTTCTTTTTTAAAAAAATTGTATTTAGTATATTTTATAATAATATTATTAAATTATTAAATATTATCTTTTTTAGTAATTTCCAGAACTCTATCAACTTTTGAAACTTAAATAGTAATAAATATATTAGGTATGTATTTATTAAACTAAAAATTTAATTTAATTAAAAAATAACCCGTTTTGGATAATTATTTTAATGTAATTAAAGTTTAAAATTTAGGACGGGAGAATGGGTGTATCACTGTAGAATTATTTTATCAGCTCGCATTACTCTACCGCAATCCACCTCCCGCCCTAAATTTTAGACTTAGTAATTTTAAGAGTTATTATCCAAAAGTGGTTTTCGACCAGTCGATATTTTCAGCAAATAATTCTTAATTTAAAAAGTTAATTAAGTATAAACATTACGATTTACGCTTTAAAAGTTAACAGAGGTCAGGAAAAAAATTAGAGTATTGTGTAATACTGTAAAATAACACAAACTAAAGTGTCTCCAAACTACAAATTTGCAATTATAAAGAAAATGAGTGATATCCTTATTAAATCATCCGTATAGTATAATATACATAATTTTCAAAACATATTTTTTTATTTATGGCATTGAATTTTACAACTAAATTAAACGATATTAAAGAACTGAGATAAATAGGTTATATTACAAAATTAAAGATGGGAATATTGACAACGCTCGATTAAACTTTGTAAAATAAGAACTAATGAATAAAGGACAGCTTTTTTTAGATAGCATTTACGTAAGAGGCCTGTGACAACTCATTAGCTCAAATAAAACTACAGTTTACATCTAGAAAATGTTCTATGAAATATTAATTCTATACCTGGATCTACAAAGCGTTTAGTAAAAACCAAATTTAAGCTTAACCGCTTACAAAAGGTATTACGACTTCTCTTAAAGCGATCATTGTAAAAATAACCATTAATTGTTTTATTAATTGTTTAAGTTTTAGCTAATTTTCAAAATATAACAAACATTTTCGATTCGAAGTCGAGCACACTGATCAAAACTAAAATTTAACAGAAACGTTACACTGACATTCAGTTGTTTGTATTACATTATATTTTACAAAGACCGCTAATGTTTGATTAAAAAAGAACGGACCTTCAAAAAGACTAGTAAAACATGTAGGTATATCATAAATACTGCAACACATTACACACTACACTATATTATTATATTAGTCTAGATGTTTAAATGTTGTTCAGAGATCATGGCGGTACTGAGAACCTACGAAATTGAAGAAAACAAAAACTGGGTTAATACTTTTTTATGGCAAGCTGAAACTATTTTTTTACACTAAACATACGAAAACGGCCGATGCATCGTAATTATGTCGAATTTAACATAGTTTTATGTACATATATTAATAATTGGCTATATGGTAAAACTAACAATATTATTACTCATTTGGCGTACAAGACAGGTCCACCACGGGTCAAAATGGCTGTTACGAACTTTTAGTAATCATAACAATTCCTATAATTTTTGTTGTTACCGGTTAAGTATACCGTTTTGACCGCACTAGGCGCCTCGTTCACAAAACGACTGTGCCTACTGGGACTGATGGTCATACCTGATAGTGGGGAGTACTCGTGCTCAGCGTTCTCCCGGATCCGAGCCAAACGCAGTAGTTCCTCGTGCAATCGGACGTTCTCTTCGATCTGACGACGGCGCCTAGCTATCTCTGCCTTTATCCTGGCTTTTTTCTCTTCCCGCTGCAGCTCTTCCTCTTCGTCTTCGCTCGAATACGGCGAAGGGTCCCAAGACCGAGACCGTCTGTATTTCATGTAGTCTAGCGGTCGTGAATCCGAACCGTCACTGAACCGTCTCATGTCCCATCTGAAAATCGTAATAGCGTTAACTTATAAACATAAAAATCGGAAAAGAGATTATCTAGCATCTCTGGTACACGAACTGTGCTACTTAACGAGACCTAACGTAATGAGATTTTCTACGATAAAAAGCGTACCAAAAAAAAAAAATAAAAAAAAATGGAAAATAATAAAAACAATTTTAATCAACCGAATAAAAAAAAGTTCCGTCTGAAATTCATTTTAAGAAAGAAAAACAATTTTAAACGCTTAAATTCATTTAAAATTTAATAGAATATCGAAATTGAATGCCGGGTGTCTTCATTATTCCATTTTCTTTTTAGAAACCCTAGAAAAGGCTTTAAACCTTTAAATATTTTTAATAAAAGATACAAATCAGACCATCCGACCACTGCAACATTAAAATTCAGTATTTTATTAAATAGAAACTAGTTTTAATATTTTTAGAATTCTTTTAAATTCCGTTTATTTTTGTTAGTTTAATTTTATAAATCTTATACATTTTTTTAAGCTCAAGAAACATATAATAATACAATCTCAAAATTTATAGGTTTTAACATGAGATTTAATTTTGAGGTGTTTCTGTAACAAACTCGGTCAAAGAATATTCATAAGACATCAAGAATCATTCAAATTTTGATTTGAACAACATTGGTTAAAACATTTTAAGTAAAATTCGATAACATCGAGTCGAAAAATACAAACAAATTAGATATACGGCCGAGGATCTAACTATAAACCGTTAAGTATATACTCATACGCCATACATAATCTGAAATCAATTAAAAACTCATTCATCCCTATTATACTAAACAACCATGAGAAACATTTTAAGATGTGTTATAATGAGAGAAATGAATATAAAAGGGTGTTTCGAAAATAATTGTGTTTTATAGACTTGTGTAATATAGTACAAGTATGCTCTAACGAGTAACTAAAAAAAATTAGCTACAACAGACTTAAGATTATTTAAAAATTACTTTATGTTTTTTCTGTTTGGTTAAATTAATGACAACTGTACGTTTAGGCGGTTACATATGACCCGACGAAGGCGATTTTATCCAAAATCAAAAGCCAGATCCTTTAACATATCACCGACTAACGACTAGAACTACCAGTCATTAAGCTAGATCTACATCATTAAACATAACATGTTATTGCATGCCTTTTGTGCTCCGGATGCATTCGACGCCGTTCGTGATCTAATACCGAGTTGATGGCAGTTTCCCGTAGTGCCCCAGGGTTACCGCCATACACTGAACTCAAGTAACTATTGTCCCAGTGTCGCCTGCTAGGATCCTCCGCTGCACCGCTTTCATATGACCGAGACCGAGGTCTCAGTGTGTAATCCTAAACAGAAAACCATAGTGACCATGAACAATCGTGAATGGAAAACAAGATCAATATATATATGTCTTTAAATTAACAGTTACATTTCTATAGCCCACGTCTAAATCTTGGCCGTCGCCGTAAACACACATGTCGGACAAGTGTTTGGCGTAAGCACTGCGAGGTGCTCTTAAACGGCCGCTAGTCGTAGATCTTTGGTAGTTATAGCGTCTATCCATGTCAGGCCTAAAAATAATAAGCGTTTGTTAACTTCTTAATAACAACACAAGACGTGTGTGCTGTGAGCGACAGAGACTATCTAAGTAATATCCGTATCGTATTACCCGTGTTTAGACGCAATTGAGCTATCGAGTAACGTGGAGTTTATCTCCTTTTTGTTCTGTTATCGCAAGTCAAATATAATATGGTCGGTCTTAGGGAAAAATATTTACTCACGAAGTATTATAACAAAATGTCATTATAGTATTTAATTTTCTATTTATTATTATCATTACACAAACAAGCTCAAATACCCAAAACTTCAATAACAATAGTTATTGTACAGAACAAAAATGACGAAATATATACAAATGAAATACAAACGATTTTGATAACCTTTCGGACCTTTTAATAACCACAAGGATCGAGGTATTTAATCTCTGAGTATGTATTTACAAATGAGTTGAAAGATATTGGAACGTATTTCACAACAGTTTGATCTAACAATAATTATTTGCTTATTTATTATATTATACTGATAAAATAAGCGCGGTATAAGCGAGAAGTTATTGAGCACTATTCGATTACAAAAACGTTTGAATAATATGTAATATCACGGTATCGTTCATTTGTGTTTAAACGCATGGATGTGTTAAGTCATGTGTGACTATGGATAACAAATGTTCACACGTGACTCGTCACTCGCGTCATTGGTTGTCTTATAGTAGATTCGACAAGTGGCATTAATTGTTAATGCCAGTCGTCTCATATTGACAGTCGACGAGCAATTTGGGCACTTGAAAATGATTTACTCACATGTTATTTGTGGAACGGTAAATATCGTAGGCGCTGCGATCCCCAAGGGTTCGTGACCGGTGATCGTCCTCGCCAAAAAGAGTAGCTTGTCTAGACGATTGCATACGGTCCGCTAGGTAACTCTCGTACGGTTTTTTGTACAATCCTAAAGTACTCTGGAATCAAACGAGATATTACCGTTATATTTTTTAATGAAGGCTGTTCAAACGTTAGTAGTACAGTTATAATAATATATAAACCGTTCAATGCGCGATTTTGTTTGCTAATGCATTATTTTTAACTAATTTTTTGTTGTACAATTTAGATGAAATAGCTTTAGGAAATATGACTTATATTTTTTTGGAAAAAAATAATTTTCAGTTTGTTGCAAACATGCAATATTGCGTACGAAAATAATTGAAGACCACAAGGCAAAAACGATGAAATCCTCATTTTTCTAAAACTGAGAAAAACGATTTTCAAGTCTCAGTGTTCTTGTATTGTGGTCCAAAACGTTACAGTCTAATTGTGGCGAAGGAACCATCGTTTTGCATGGGAGTCAGATTCTACTGAAACTACAAGGTTTTGTGAAAGTGTTGCCAACCTTAACTAATTTTCGACCACAATGTGGGTTTCATCGTTTTTCCCTTGTGGTCTTCAACTAATATTTTTACTATAGCTATAGGCAATCCAACATGGAAAATATTTTATATCAAAGCAAACTTTAAAATTTGTAAATGAGTAATTGTATAATTTATACAATTATAAGAAGTATATTATAATAATAATGGTACTAAGTGAAATTAAAATGAAATCTTGGTTTCAACCTTGATTCATCACATAAGAATTTTAAAGATAATAATTGAGGAAAATTGGTACATTTAAAATAAGTAAAGTATATAATATATTTTATCACGGTAAAAATTATAGTATATAATAGTAATAGTTATTTGATATCGTTTTGTATGAAACTTCTCAACGCAGTCTTCGGTTCTCGCTAAACATGCGCCTATAACAATTGAATTTGGTATATTCAAAGTGTGTAAACCTTTTACATAGAGTAGTGGTACCTTACGTCATCTTTTTGTACTGTGGTCTACTAGAATTCTGAGGTCTAACTCACTGGAGGTATTGAGTGTGTTTGTTCAAATTTAGGATCAATAATATATTATGATTACTTGGTTCAATCACAAATTCTACTGGCATGTCAATTTCGCCATTTAATTTAAATTTTAACCACGAATATAATTGATATTTAACACTCAAGAAGCTGAAACCTATACCTACGTAACCTTGATATCTGCATAACATAGTACAGTGTATAATGTATATTCACGAAACATAGAAAATGAGAACAGCCAATGTGTATACACATTAAATATGCGATTCAACGCTCAATTAGTTTTTATTTTTGTTATAGCAGTTTATAAAACTCTTAGTTAATTCTTAGATCAGCGTTCCTTTAACAATAATATTATGACCAACGTTCATCCGTCCCAACTGGGTCACCGCCCAACGTATCGATTTGTTGAATAATTTTAACTCATTCTACAGAATTTCGCCGAACCAATTACCCCCACACAATGCGTTGTAACAACAGTATTATAAAGCTAACAATACACATAAAGGAAATAATCATAGGTATCAGATGCAAGAATTAATACTGATGTTATTCTTCATGCCAGCATGACAGCCATTCCTGATAGGAAATCACGTTGAAGGGTGTGTAAAATTCAATGCAATCAATGTCAACGTCACGGATTAAAAATGTATTTAAAAACTAGGAGTAAAAATGTTTTCTATTTATTAAATACTCTAGTTTATATTTTCTTATATAATATATACTACGGATACACAAAATTAAAATTGTGGAAATCGATTTAAGTACATTACAGCTATAATTGAATAATTGTAAGTGAAAGTGAAAGTGACACAACAGCGTCAATCCTGTAGAAGGTTAATACAGTAAATGACACTGAGCTGTACCTTGTAATAGTAATTTCCGTCGTTTTCTTCTTTCTCACCTTAGTTCTTAACCTGTCTTCTATTAATCTTCTACAAAAACAACTTTTAACATTCGTTGTAAATATCTTTCTCCTCATGCATACCCAAATAATCTCAATCTAGTCACATTGAAGCTACTTTTTATATTATATCTGTACCTTATCTATTCACTCCTCGCAATAGTATAACTTGTACAACAACAGTGGCGTATATCTATTTTCGATAAGGTGTGTGAAACATTTTTTTTAAGATAAACCACCACCCACCACAATCAGTGTATAACAAAGTTATACACTCAGCTCTTACTCGAACTTATAAAATATGATTGTTGTCTAAAATATTTCTATCTACCGTTCATTGAATTCACACAATTAGCGGGCACAAAGCCACTTTTAAATGATCACATGCCAAGTTGTTTCCAATAAATGTAATTTAATAATATTAACTTATAATAACAGTTAACTTGAAACAATGCATCATTATGGAAATAAATAAAGTGCCCTGACCTAGGGCAATCTATCTAACACCTGTTAAATAGATAACATCCCATTTAAACTATTTTAGTCGAATAGTCAACTGACACGCCATTAGTGTAGTAATACATTACTACGCCAAACGCTTTGTAAGTAAAGTTTCCCCATTTATCCTGAATCATTGATGTCTTAGTAGTGGTTTACCATGGCATTGGTGCAGCTGGCCAATTGACTCTGTGTTTGTGAAGTGGCGGATAACAGGTGTCTGAGATCTGGCGGTAGGCAAGCGGCCAGTTCACTGTCTGTTTCCGTCGAATATTTTGGGTAGCCGTATGGTCTGGGCGTTGGCTCTCCCGTGCTGCTCACTAGGCTTGAACCTTAAAATACACGAAAATAGTAAGAATATCATTCTGCAACGCACAGAAACAGTTTACAGATAATATTTAAGAAATTGACAAGGATAAAAAAATACCATAGTTCTGTCCTTAAAAATGTTTAAAAAAGTATAGGTAAGACATATAATTAAAGTTTGAAAACCTTACAAGACTAACATATGGTCTTAATATTAAATTACTATTAATATTTTAATAGCGTTTTTTTAACGAATACATAGTTAGTAAAAATATAACATACAATTTAAAAATTAGCTTTTCCTTTTTTTCATACTTTTTATCAGGGCTTTGAACCCGAATTATTTATTAAGGTGAGGGTTTTTTGAATTTATTTGGGGTAAGTAGGGTTGTATAGGTTAGGTTCAATTAAATTTCACAGACCAGTTCTGTTTTTACAACTTTGGATGTGATTTATAACATAACATAACGATGTAGAGAAATTTTGAGGCTTGATGAAATTTCAACGAAAACAAAACTATAAATCTAACTGTCACTGTATTAACCATGTTTTTTTCTTGCATAGTTCAACAGTTCATTAGTATATGATGAAAAGTAGAATTGTAATTGAGTAATAAACGTGTAAATTATGTTCAATGTAAATGTAAAAAATTAAATCGAATATATAGCGCCGGAATATATTATATTATTTTTTAATTATGTCGGGTCAATTTACGTATTGGCCCGGACAAATGTGCATTCTCTCCAAGGACACATAACAAGAAAATAGATAATACCACTGAGTATATAATGTTATATTATTTACAATTAATACTCGACGATATTATCGATACTTTTTTAACGTTTTTTCGACGCGGGCGTACCGAAATTGCCTACAAGAAACGCCGCGCTCGGTTAAAATTTATGCGGCATGTAAATATTTAGATTACCCAAAATGCGCATTTATATCATCGTTACGGTGCACTCCAAAAATAGTGAAGGGCAATTTTACTCGATTGTGATCCAAGGAATTAGGTTCAAGTGAATCTAAGGTTTCATTATTTCCAATGTACAATAATATGTATATAATAACAATATTATATTGTTATATATTATCATATTATTATTGTCTCGTGTCAATAATATATTGTTGAACAATTTACTAATAACTTACACACTGCACTAACAATACATTTAATATATACCATCAATTAATATGCATGGTGTTACCAATTTTACTTAACAGTAATGTTTTTTTTTTTATAAAAATCATTTTTTTTTTTTGCTTAAAAAGTTTCAAGCAATAACCATTTTAAAATCTTTACTATTTTATAATATAAATGATAAGACCGTAGAATTTAGTCTTAATTTAAGTTAATTAAGTTTTAATCTAATTTAGTCCGTTTTAAAGGTTAGTTTTAGAAAGTAACAAGTTTTTAAAAATCAAATATCTAGTGGAAGCAGAATAATGTAATGAAAATAATAAATGGTCGATAACGAGTTTCAAACAAATGCTTTTCGAATATTGACCATTGAAAATTTTAAGTGAGGGTGAGTTGTGCACGCGAATGAAAAAACTTTTCGTTCTACCTCTATTCTTACCTATAATTTAAAAGCAAATAACATCATTATTATTTATTTAATATTGGTTGTCGACTAATCATAATTTGAATTACATATTTTAACTTTCAGTAGTTAAACCATTATTAATTATACATGTAGATAGTTAACTTAAAAAAAGTTACTCTCTAAAACTGCCATTTCTAAAACTAAAATTTGAAATAATATATTTTGACCCCAAAAACTGTTTTTAATCATTACTAAAAGATTTTACTTGAAACTTTTACTTTCGCCTGCAGCGACATGCGGCCAAATGGCCTAGTGTTTTACCGTAAAGCCCAAGGCTGGGCGGTGTATTATAATACATGCCAGCAAGTGTGAGTCTGCTGGGTCGCTGCGAGTATCCCAGTTTGGAGTAATATGGTATGGATTTGTCGTAATGCATGTCGAAGAAGCGAACAATAACGTGCGGCGCTAGTGACAGACCCAAGTCGGCCTACAGTCGGCTTACAAGTAAGACGGCGAGCTTGGATGAACACGCGACGGATGCGGGAACGGAACGACGTTGTCCGCCGTTTGTATCCGCAACGATGAAGGGCCGGCAGCCGTCGAGAAATGTGGCCATGACTGCCGCCGTGGACGGACTCAATATTTTGTCGGTGGTCGGTACAGGAACAACGCGAATAGCGTAGGATAACCACACCGATGTGGACGCGATGATTTATAACACGGTGAACGATCCAACCACAACTAATAATAATAACACGGTACTCGAGATCACGGTGGACGCGGCAGTAAAATATTGCGGTAACCGCCAACACGACTTGATGTGCTCGCAGACCTACGCTGATAGAATAGGCGCACGCCACTACCGTCGGTCACTAGTTCACCCGAAGGTCGCTAACGATTTTATTACTCACAAGAACCCCGTGGGAGAGTGCCCGAGTAGTAGTAAGCTAGCGGATACGTCGGGGGAGAGCGCCACAGCTGTTCGGCTGGATCGGCGGTGAAGGAGCGTCCCGCAAATTCTGTCGTCAGCCACGTGCGCCTGTCTAATCAATACTACGGTGGTTCTCACGCATTGTACACGTTAGCCTTTCACTCTTGCCGCCCTCCTCCTCCTCCTGGCCACGGCTTAGCCCCTTTTTTTGCGTGCTCTCCAGTCTCCACTCTACCCTCTATGCACAGAAAGCGTTAACGCCTAACGCCACACTCACCGTCATACTCGGCTTGGCGATACGGAATTCGGCAGCACTTCGACCCGCGAAAACCCAAACCGTACCCCGCTCGGTATAGTTCATTTGAGTGCCGGACACGTAATCGTCCGTTTGTTGTTAAAAACAAAATGCGTGGGTTTTCACCATTTTCCCATTCAAGTATAGTTTTTACCGCAAGTGTCCAATATGCAGACCAATATAGACCTACATTCAAGCCAGACGAAATTGTTAAGGACCCCTAGCAAAATACCCTATCATTTATTTGCAAATAATATACGTGCCATAAAATCAAACGTTTGCCTTATTCATTGTAACAATATACTAAATAAAAAATCAACATAAATGTATTTTCCTACGAATATAGACAATTTTTAGGAATTCCCACAATGGTATTTAATGATATTTAACACGTAAACCTAATTTATTTATATTAGGGACAGACGATCTCCGAGATGCACAAGTACACATATTTTATTTATGCAACGCAATTAAGATAATAAAGATGTATAATTTGGTTTTCGTCAAGTAAGTAATAAGTATGTGACGGTCCGGTTTTGTGAAAGCTGTCCATCCGTAACTACTATAATAGAAATATTGTCACCAGGTGCCTAGTGACGTTATATACCTCTCTTGATAGGTCAAAACTTGAATTTGGTTCCATTATATGAAATCCTACGCAAGTTGTCTAAATTAAAAATAGTAGAGCATCTGCAGTAACGATTCTCTAGAATAGAGAATAGTAGCCTATAAGTTAGAAACGGTAGGTCAGTCCCCTGAGGCAGTTCTAAAGCATTGTGGGTTATTAACCCTACAACAATGACGTCTATATTTGAATGTGGCATTTGTCACTAAGTTAATGAGAGGCGGCATTGATTGCCCTATATTTTAGAGAAAAATTTAATTCAAAGTTCCAGTTGTCAATAACAGAATAACCAAACGTTAGTCCCCCCTCCCTTTATAAACAAAATTATTAACTATGTAATCGTAATATGTATTTATATAAGAATACTATGTATTCTTAATCATTGTAATTTAAATAATAATTTTGATTTTTGTTTTGATATGCTTCTTAAATTAAAATATATTTTTAACTCATAATATTGTATATATAACACTGTATTATTACTTCTATGAGCTGTCACTTATAAATAAATAAATAAATATGTACCGACTAGCCTGTTGGATGGAAAAAAATTGTTGCATAAGTGGCAGCCAAATACTTTATTTTTGATTCCACCTAACAAGTCGATATGCCTAAACTAAATTTTTAGTCGACAATATTATTTATTTAGTAAATTCAACTACAAAATAAAAGTTGTCATTTTTTTTTCTCAAACTAAAAAAATAAACTAATACTAATTGATAACCAGTTATTTTTGAAAAGAGGAGCCTCGAATTGGGAAATTGGAATAACATATCATTCGTAGTTTTATGATATTAGTAAAAAAAACAGCTTGGACTTCAGTACTAAAAAAATAACTACAGTAATAATATAAGAACATCTAGTCAGACATTTTTTTTACATTGGAGCCAGTAGGTTACTACTTAATTTTACTAGTAAACCTACTTATCAACCGTATTTTGCTAGCTGAACTAACTACAGTTTTTACAGGAGAAAAAAATCGCATTTTTGTTCGGGGAAGAATAATTATTATTTTATATATTATATTTATTTGTAAGAATATAGTAAACAAACTATATACTATAATATTCGTGGTGTAAAATTTGTAAAATCAATTCTAACAGTTTATTACTTTTAATACATATAACGATAAACTGTTAGTAAAAATAATATGGGACTTTCAAAATCCATATTTAACAAGAAAATGTGAATGCTACTAGTATCAAGTTTTAAAAATATGCAACATAACTAAACAAAATATTTTTTTTTTAAACAATAATGAATAAAAATATTAATCAAATTTAAAGATACTCTAACTATTTAGTTTTTTTTTATTTAGTTTTGAATTTTTAAGAACTCCTTCAACAAATACTTTTAAGTTGAATACATATCTACACATTTAATCTAAAATAAGTAATCATTAAATATTTATTATATGTAGTAGCAGTATTCAAAAAATGTTTTTTGGCAAAAGTTTATTGTTTCAACACTACCTAGTAAAAAAAACAAATGTTATAAGTAAAAACCATTCTAATATTTTCTAAGGAAGTATATCGTTTTTAAAATTAGAGTTATTGCGTGAATTGCAATTTTCTTGAATTTTAAGATATTTTCGTTGTTCTGTAAGAAACCATTTTTGGCCAAAAATACTCAAAAGACTTTAAGGGTCATTCAAGTTTTTCTTTAAAACAATTAGTTGTGTCGTTTTTAGTTATGTTAGGCAGGCAATTGAGAAAATGAGAAACAGGGTTACACTTAGGCTGGAACCTTGTAGGAGTCCATTTTCCGTGGTTAGGAGCTAGAACGAGTGTTACCTATTTTAACATTTTCATTTTATTTTGAATATAATTTTGAATTCTTCACAAAATTCTTCTTTTATAATCATAAATTTAAAAAAAATCTATTTCACGCGTATAAAATTCCTTTTTTAAATGATTTTCTTTAACTTGCTAACACGTATGTACGTTACGTTTGTTTGTACGGATATTTTTCAAACTAATTTAACCCACTTCCCGATGTCGTAGAAGGCTGAAACTTGGCACAGACACTCATCTCGAATAACAATACAATATCCTGCAATAATATTGGGACTCGGACATCCAGGTCGCCCTACACAAGGTCATATGTGGGGGTCTTTTCACTAAAATTTCATTTTTTTTTCAAATCTTTCAAAATAAATTTAGTAATATATTCACCAATTATTAAGTACTTTTATTAGGACTAAAAAGTAAAAAATAAAACAAATAAATATAAAAAAAACTTTTTTAAAACATGCTTTTCTAAAAAGAAAAAAATAATTTTACTACAAGAACAATTTACTACCAATCAATTGCAGCACATTTTATTTAAAATGTGAATTACTTTAAAAACAACCCTAATAAAATCCCTGATAAATTTATCAAATAAAATTTCAGAAAATGTTCATACTGTACATTTCTTAATACTTAACTCAATGAATTTTTACTTTGTTGAATAGGGCCCACGCATTTATTTTTAGTCAAAAATGAAAGATGTTTAACATTATTTAAATATGTAGTTAATTTTCGGTTGTTTTTAAAATAACTGAGATGAGAAAACGTACCACAAAGTCGTCAAAATACCTATCACAGTGTTCTAATAGCACCATTATAAAAAAAAATAAAAATCCATTATTTTAATCAAAATTTGGTTTTATACACAATTGTGATGGAAACTTAATTTAATACAAAACAAAATTGTTTATCAACAGAAAACATTAGTGTTAAAAAATCCAATAATATGAAAATTATATTTTTGTAATTTCTATAATTTTCATAGTGTAAAAATTGAGTGTTTCAAATATTTTAGAGAATTCCTCCTAAATTATTTTGAAGATGGGTGTACAACTATGATTTCAATGTATTTTTTGTATTCTATGGTCAATTTATGTCAATAATCAACATAAATGCCAAGTCCCGTAATGTTATAAGGAGAGATGAGCAGAGGCAGTCAGTGAGAGTTGTTTTGAAGATGAATGTAGAGGGGGAAAGAGAGGAAAGGTAAGACCGAAGAAGAGATAGATAAATGAAATAAAGAGTGATACGAGGATAGCTGGAGTGATTGAACGAGATGTAGAATATCGAGCTTTATTTAGTCGGGGGTGTAAGGAGAAGATGAAGAAGAAATATCATGACCCCGTAGAAAAATTGTTAGGTAAATCATTTACAGTACATTGAGCTAATTAAGTAGAAGTTACTAAATTTGTATTCTAAATTAAAATAATACCAATTATTGTAAACATAAGTTATAATATTTTTGAACTTTAATAATACCTTAAAATTTCCTTATAAACCATTGTATTATTACAATATTTGATTTACCCTTTATTTATGTTTTAGTAAAATTATATCCACCGAAATTTGATTAAAATCGCTGTTCTTTTTGAAATGTGGCTAATAAGTAAAACAATATGATAATTGTTTTGGATGACCTCACAACTGCCAAATAAATATTTCGTTTAAACATTGAATAAAATGTCAATATAACATACAAAGAGTGAAGACTAACGATGATTATTCTAATCCAAATAAGTTACTAAATGGTTTACTTTGATTAACTGTTTTTCTCAATACTATAAAATAATAATTATAAAGCTCATAATCAGCCCTGACTTCTAGTTTGAAGTTAAGTTAATAGTGACTGCTTTAAAAGCTTTTAAAAAACACATTTTTACAAAGTAAAAAAAAAAATTAATTTTCTAAGATACCTAATAGTTTTTTTTATTATATTTTAATAAATCATACATTCTTAGTAGACATAACTAGTAAATATTTGCAAATTAAAAAAAAAGTACTAGGTCCAAAAATATTTTTTTAATTTATATCAATTGGCGAGCCTACAAATAATACTTATTTTTTTTAAATAATATTCTCAACAGCAGTTGTTAAACCAATTATATTCATTCTATGAATATTAAAATAATATTTATAGGTTCAATGAAAAAAATCAAAATCAATTTTTAGTAAAAATGAGTTTCTATACTATAACCATTTCATAAAACCTCAAAAATAATTGAAAAGTACTTAATGATTTATATTAAAAAAATATAGATTTAATAAGTATTTAAACTTTAAAACTGATTTGTCAAAAGCTACAAAGCGTTTATATATTTGTTGTAGAGTATTCTTATTACAGTGTATTTTTAATAAAACAAAAATATTCTTACAATTATTATACTTTTACTTTTGTATAACCATTTTTTTATAATTTAAATTTAACTTATTGCAATAGCAGCTTTTTGACTCATGTACAACAAGACACAGTAGCGCAACCAGAAATATCCCTTGGGAGGGGGGTCCAAAGTACGGTTTTTAGGTATAAGGTCCTTGTGTAATATTAAAAAATGACAATATGTGATAACGACTTGTTATCTACCGCAAAGAAGGCCAAAAAAAAAATTATTATATTGCCAAAATGAATAAATATTGTTTACTGTAATATATAATTAGTCAATAACTAAAATTACCTTTTATTTACTTTTAATTTTCTACTTGAGAAATACTCAAGGGGGGGTCTGGACCCGAGGACCCCCCACCCTTGGTTGCGCCACTGACAAGGCATGTTTATAAAAGTCTTATTTGAATATTCTTTTAGTAATGGTTTATTATTAAATAATGTCAAGTATTGAAGTACTTGAGGCAAATCATTTAACTTTTTATATTATACACAAATTACCCTGTGCAATATTTTTAAGTAACTGCGCAGTACTAGTATTCGTACATATTTGAAAATATGTTTATCTTAGATTAAAAAGATGGAACTTTTCTGTTTTACCTACATTCTCCTTATTATTTCGTATGATGAACTTAAATCTATTAATAAAATCATACCTTGTAATAAGCCTAGAGCAGATTCCGGTCTAATTGTACTGGCACAGTCTCTTTTCGGTTGATATTTTAGTAAATTCGTTTCGCTCATACTTGGTCGTTGACGGTTGCCAAATTTTATCTGCCAGTTCATAGTCGACATACTACCTAAATTCATACTTTCAGATTGTGCAACGTTCCTGACAGAGGAGAAAGACCTGAAATTATCAATGACGATTATATATATAACATGTATATTGAATATATACGTTGTTCACAAAACTGCTGATGAGAAGTAGAAACTACTAAGCAAACAAACAATTTTTTTTTTAATTTTTTAACCGAATATTTTTATGGGGACTTTTTAAGGGAGTTTTAAACATTTTGGACGGCAATTTCGAAGGAATAGCTTGTTCACATATTTTTGACAAAGTTATTCTGTTTTCAATTATTTTTTAAATATTTTCAATTTATTATCCTTTTATATGATAAATGCATTGGGTCCTGGCCGAATATTAACAATTAAAAAAACCAACGAACCGAACTTTATCCATCATCGCCTTTAACATTCGATCACGTTTCTTAGCATTAGGTATTGGTGCAGCCTCTTGATTGGCTGGTAAATCAGGCAATCTCCGCCGACTCCTAAAAGATTTCATTGAATCAGTCTCGCTCAAGGTATCAGGAGATGCTGATAAGTCCTTTACGCCCCTTGGTGTACTAACAGGCGTACTTTGAGGGGTTACTAATTAGAAAACATACAAAATATGATAATTAATTTAATAATGTTTTTGAATTTTTCTTTATTTAAATTTAGTTTACTAACAGTGTGAAGCTGGCTGTGTGTACTTCATAGCAGACAAATGGTTTGCCGATGTTGCGATAGTTATTTGCTTATTGCCCGCTACCTGATCAGCGTTTTGTGCCAAATATTTAAAGGCACTTGGCACAATTTTCTGATTTTTTTGCTCAACAATGTTTTGATTTTGATTTTTATGCATTATAATATCGGTGCGCTGAAAAAATGTTTTTGAATTATAGTAAAATAATAATTAGTTAACAATTATTAGTAAATAACAATTGCATGGTGATTAACGAATTAAAAATTACCTGTCCTTGAGATTTGCTTGCGTTAGTCACATTTGAGTTACCATCCTGAACATTTTGGTTTGTAGTTTTGGTAATTACGCCCAGAGGTAAGAAGGCATCTGTTATATTATTGCCTCTTTCCTGGTTTGTCTGTGGTTGCGCATTTTTGTCTACAAGATAACTTTCTACTCTTCCCATACTATTGTATAATTTTTGTTCTTTATTAAGTTCTTGTTGGTTTTCATTCGAAAACTGATGAACTTCTTTTTGATAATGTATTTGTTGCTGTTTTTGCTGTAGCTCCTGCTGCTGCTGTTGTAGTCCTTGTTGCTGTTGTAGTTGTTGTTGTTGCTGCTGCTGTTGTTGTTGTTGTTGTTGTTGTTGTTGTTGTTGCTGTTGTTGTTGCTGCTGCTGTTGTTGTAGTTGCTGTTGTTGCTGTTGTTGCTGCTGTTGCAGTTGTTGTTCTTGTTGTTTCTGTAGCTGTTGTTGTTGTTGTTGCTGTTGTTGTAGTTGTTGTAGTTGATGCAGCTGCTGTTGTTGCTGTAACAGCTGCTGGTGTTGTTGTTGTAATTGTTGTTGAATCGGTTGTTCGTATATTGGTTTTGGCTGTTGAACTTGTTTCTGTTCAACATTTTGATATGTATATTGGGGTTGATAGGGTTGACAAATTCCTAAATTTATAGAGTTATTTGGTTCATCCTGATATGTTTGTGAGTTGCCAAACTGTTGGTTTAATTGAACGTCAAATGATGGCTGATCGTCCTGTTTGTTGAAAAACTGCTGTATATTATTAATTTTTCTATCGTTCGGATTTACCGAGAACATTATATTTTTTTGCTGATTTCCAACTAGACACTGAGTGTCGTTAATTACTGGTTGGTTGATCGACCTCTGGGCCAATAATTGATCGACCGGCTGGTTGACTAATTGCCTCGGTTGATTTAGTCCAGCTTCGTAGAACATCCCGTTATTCGGTTGATGTACTGATTGTTGTTGTGGGTTTTGAGTTATTTGGGCTTGATGATCTTCACCAAATATCAGCGGTGTCTGCTGTTGAAGCTGTATATTTCCCGGAAGATTTGTGTCAAACATACTTGTTTGAACGGAGTTAGAGACCTCGCTGGGGTACATTTGATAATGTGGATCCTGTATATTTTGATTGATTATTGATTGAGTTCTTCTTAGTTGAGTTAGAGGTCTGTTTGTAACTCCATCAAAATTCGTTTGTTGTTGTATAATGGGTTGCTGCTGCTGTTGTTGTTGTAGCTGATGATTTTGTAATTGTTGTTGTTGCTGATGAATTTGTAATTGTTGTTGTTGATGATGCTGTTGTTGCAGTTGCTGCTGTTTTTGTTGTTGTAACTGATGTTGTTGTTGCTGATATTGTTGTTGATATTCTTGTGAATTTTCGAACGAATGAGGCTCACAAAATTTGTGCTTGTTATTGTTTTCAAATTTATCACTAGTGGCTATGTGAGTATTTGTACCACTGTTCATATTACCTGTAAAAAAATCCATATATTACATATATAAAATACAATTTTAACATTATAATACAAATTTCATATTATTGAAATATTAAGTATTCAATTATTAAGCACATAGCTAATTAATTTTATACCTATAGCACACAGTTTTAGGTAAGTTGTTTAGTTAATTTATAAGAAGCTTTTTCAAAAGGAATGTACATACCTACAATATATAATTCATACTTATTAAAAACAAATAAAAATGTTTTGGAAGGAATCTACTACTATAAATACGAAACCTACGCTAGGTTTTTTTAGTAAGCGAAAAACATAGAGTACAAATTTAGAATAATCGACTGATTTGGTCCCTGAATGCTTTATAAAATCATTATAATATAAATTACATTTCGTCTAAAATTCTTTGATATTCATTTACTTTAAAAAATTGTAAAAGGTTATTTTTACAATTATGTTATATTTTATGGAGTTGATAAAAAAGGAATTAAACGATTCTTACGGATATATTTAGACTTAACCATTATTAAATTGTTATTTCACATCAACGAACTATTACCATCTATGGATTCGCATCGAACCTTTTATTTGCAAGTGATTATCAATTCAACAACTCTTGTAGACCTGTGCCCTCTTCCGCCCCACTATGCCCCGACCCCACTTTTATTATTGTTCTTTATTTGAAAAAATAATTTAATACATAATTATTTTTAACATTAATTCATCAAACCTATTGAACGACTGAAGTCGGCCAACATTCCACTAATCGTTCCGCAATCCTTTTCAGCTGACGCGTTTGGTACAAAATAATCAGGTTGTTTATACTGAAAAAAAATAAACAATAATAAATTAAAAAAACTCGCGTTAAAAATGTATTTATATAGTTTTAACGCGATGAAAACGTCAAGCGAAAACTGCGGCTAATATCATTATTTGAGATAATCGCTTGAAGAAAGATTTGATTTGAAAATCTACCAGATAAAACTGTTCACAAAGTTATAATATTAAGGGTTCAGTACTGGGCCTCATTCGGAGCTATCAGTACTGCTAAATTGCATAGTTTGGCTAGGCTTTAATTATTAATTAATCAGAAGAAATATAAACGTTACGCAACGCAGTCTTATTCAACTCACTAAAATTCCTCCTTCAATTTCCTACGTCATAAAAGTGTCATGTACTATTCTCTAGCGCTGCGTGTATCACACTGCATGTTATACAATAGTGATTGGAATCCGAAAATCTGGATTTTTTTTTTAACGCTGTTTGAGCCACTTAAAAATCGTATAAATATTACTACAATATATATCTGTGTAGCTAAGTAAAAGGTTTGATGAAAGTAAAAGAAACGCTTAACTTTGAATATAAATTGCTTTCGGTTTTCGTACTCCGTAATTTTGGAATTTAACAAATCCGAAGTCTAAAAGCAATTTATCTTTTATTTTTATATTTTCATTAACACAGCTTTATAATGTACAAATAGTTAATACTTATAAGATTTTTAAGTGACGTAAAGAGTATTTTTTTTTGTGAAAATCGGAAATTTTAGATTCTAATCATTAGTACACAATCTGCTTATACCTAAATATGATATAAAAATAATATTGATGGTGGAATATATTAGTGTTCTATGTGTTTTCAAACATCTACCACTACAAAATGCAACGACAATTCTAGTTATGCAGCAGCTCTAACCGCTATGGCTAAATATTTTCCACGACGTAATGCTTAGTATAAATTATAATATTATATAATACCTATACTATAACTTTAAATTAAAAAATACACAAATTACACAATTTTATCCAAAAAAACGTTTTCCAAGTACCGCTAGCTCGAGTTAGGTTCACTACACAGTAATAATAATTTATTATATAAAATAGTTTCAACAGTTTTTAATAAAAAATTGACCGCAACTGTTTTCATGCACTATTTGTATTTGTCCGCGTTAGTTGTCCATCGGCACTTGACATATATTGAAATTCTATAGGAAACTAAGTAGTATCCTATATGGTCAGACCGTTATTATAATTGTTTTATTTGTACAAGTGAACCAGTGCAATTGTCTAAAACAAGCAACTACGTCACAACTGGTGGCCTACGAGTTATCTGGTGGTCACAATATAATATCACAAAGGTATAATAACAACAAGTTACATTCTATTCAATTAGCATATACAATAAAATATTATGTTATGGTAATATTATCGTGTTACATCAACATAATAGTGCGTGCTTACATTTCTACCACATACCAAACTCACAGTGGTGGACCGGTGATTTGGGGACTGCTGGTCAAGAAGAGGTCCTAAGTACCGTATTATCTTTGTAAGATAAGATGCACGGGTACTATCGGGCCGAAGTGGTCAGAATAAATAAATTAAAGTGAAATTTGAGGTTTTGTTCTTGAGTTTTATTTGTAGCATTGTTACACGCTTAAAATAGCTTTCGGGGATATAAATTCAAAACCGTACACCCTTACCGTATCCGCCACTGCGCACCGATTTCATTTCTAAAGACTATATAATAATTATTATTTTTATGGCGTATGTTAACGTAATCGTTATCTCCGACATAACAACACCAACGAAAAATATACACCAACTACTCGCCAAACATAATACTTGTTGTGCTGAGTTGGCCTTACGTCAGAATACGTTGCCATGTTTTGCTGGTTGCCAACAAACTGACTGCTGTTGACCGACCGGTTAGGCGGCGGCACCCTGTCATAATTCCCATACTCGTTCCAATGCGTCTGCCGGTGGCCGCCGCTTCCATACTTGTGCGCCGAATTTCCATCGAAACTCTTCTGTTCTCGTACCATAGCTTTTTTCGGAGAACCTCCACTACCACTACCGCCTAAACGGTGTTGGCTCTTCGACTGCTGATAACTTTGTAACGGTTGGTTTAACAGTTTACGTATTCGTTCGTATTCGGGTGTGTTTTTCAACTATAAAAGTAAGCACACAGAAAAACATCAACGTTCACATTAAACGTAATACGTTATTGCTTCTGCTGTAACCGTCAACGGACGGAATCGCCTTTTTATAGTTTTAATATAGCGTTTCACCCATATTTAGTATCAAAAATGGCATGTATTCACTATTCATAACCAACCGCCGTTTTACAATCAAAACTTTCAGTGCAAATGTTATGAAGGACTTTTTGCGCGTATATCACAGACGTTTAGTCGACCAAAAACCGATAGTTATTTCTATACAACTGCTCGCCAAATGACATACCGTCATTATAATTCTTAAATCCGTCGGTATTGAATATTTTGTTTTCATTATAGCTCCTACTTTTGTACTTTTATTTATAAAATTTGAAAACCCATTTTATAGTTAAAACAATCCCATCTAATCGACCCAAGTTAATGTTAAAATTTTCCATATAAATTTGTCATTACATTGTACGTTTATTATTTATTTGGCTAAACAAAAATAGCATTTATCTCTCTCGCCAATACATATTGGACTAATCTAAAATATGTGACATTTGATACAACTATAATGAATACTTAAAAAAAAAATCGAAAAAATTATTTCGTTTATTATACTAAAACCACTTGTAAGGCTTTTTAGGCTTTAGTCTTTAGCCTTCCAGGCAGCCATTGACTGAGTGTCCCTTTATTCCAATTTTCACAAATTCGCTGAGAATAACATTATAGTTGTTTTTACTAATTTGTTTTATCTTTTATAATCATAAATATTAAGGTGCGGACAGGTTTAAGACTAAAAAATAAGGTAACTTGAATTATTTTTGAAGACTATATTTTTTTAATTTAATGTCTAAGTATATACATTTTTTTTAAGAAAATAATTCAAATAATATTTATTTTCGTCAACATTTTAAGAATTTTAAACCTACACTTCGTTAAATTGAAAAGTGTGTATAGAAGTTAATTTTAGGTTAATCAGAAGGTATTAATTATTATACTCCTTCAGGACTACAACTAAAACTCGGACTCATTAAATAATTATAAAATCGATTGTTTTTCACTAATTTATAATAATGTAATGTGTAATTAATAATTATAAATTTAATAAAATGTTGACCACGCGATTCTTGTATATGAATTTAATAAATCATACTTATATATTATAACAGCAGGCCAGACAAAAATATTACCTAAATAAGGACAATATTGTAAATAAAAAGTATGCCGGTGAAGAAAGCAATATTTTTTTATCGTTTGAAAGCAACAAAAATATAATACATTTTTTAATTAATTTCAATATCGAACACTAGAGCAAAAAACGTTTAGATCAGTAAACAGTACGATATATTACATTTGTTGGTGTTAATTTATATCTGAACATTACTAGTTTAAATGTACTACAGTACTTATTGTAATATTTAATAAATTTTTTCTAACGGTTGCAGTGTTATACATTCCTTGGAAACGAATTTTTTGTAATTTATACACAGTTTGTCCCACAAAATTATATCCAACAATATCCTCTATGCTCTAAAATTTGCAATCTTATTTTTAGCTTCGACGCGGAAGGTATTATTTTTACAATGAATATTTACATAAACCCATCGAAACGTTTATTTGAAAGTGATTTTATCACTTTTAGTTTAAAATAGATCTGTGACATCTCCTGTTTCAATATACTCCGTCCACATTATACCCCAGCCCCGGCCTTACTGTACTGACTTTAGCATGGAACATGCTTTAGCCTTGGCCTCCCAGCTCGAAAACGACACAAATGGGGACACACTCATTATTTTTTATGGACTAAAATTGTTACCTTACAGTAACATATCAATAGATTATTTAAAAGAACTTTGTAAGAAATATCATGGAATGAATAATTTAATTTTCAATCTATGAAAAATCGCAATTTTCGTGATTGAAAAAAAAATTTTCAAGAGTTCTCAGCATTCTCATAGAAAAATGACCTAATGGAGTGCGACATTGAACTCTGAAACACCCTATATATGCTCTTCCCTCTAATATCATTCTTGTGTCTATTATAATTTAATCAGCATTGAGCATAATTCTTAAAAACCTTCAAAAAGCCTTTTTATACAATATTTTATAAAATCGAAAAACATAATTTTTCAACTTAATTTACTATTATTTTTTCAGTGTATAGCAAAACTCAAAGAAAATTTGTACTTAAATCTTGTTACGATTTAATACTCTATCTATAATAAATCCCAAAAAAAAAAAAACACTAGCACCGAACGCACGCCATTTTAGCTTTTTAGCAAAAAACGATTCTATTAATTAACCGACCACAAAGAAACTTACGTCGTCTTGGAAAACAGAGCTGTCTGAATCGTACTCCACGCCAATGCTATCCGTTGGAGAATTCCTGGAATAAAGTTGCCATAATTAAATGTTCATAAAAGACATTAATTTTGTGTTGAGCTCATGTTAGAAAAATATGTTATTACCTGCCGCCGTATAGATTTTGAACGTAGGTCGTTGACAGAGGTTGGTCATCCGCATTCCAATATGTATTACTCTGGCCCAGCACGCCTAAAACAAGAAGTTTATTAAAAAAATGCTCATCATCATACTAAATTGAGTAAACTATTTATAAAGAAACTCTATACATTTAATAATAGTATAACACAATAATGGGTCGGTCAAATCGACGCACATAAGAGTATTAATATGAACAATTCTGACAAAATTGTTTTATGAACTTAATTGATCAAAAAAGACATAAGAAAGAACATTTATTGAAAAAAAACAACAATTTAGTAATTTCTACATGTTTTTTGAATATCAACGAAAGTTTTTTGGCGATATTCTTTCCTCGTAACTCATAAAGTATAGAATATAAAGAAGATAGAAGTAAAGAGTGAAGAGCTTTCTCTTGTCAATTTTCTTAACAAATATCGAAGGATTTAAAAAAAAATAGAAATAGGATTTTTTAAGATTAAAAAAATATAATTTATCCTATAAAGATTAAAAAAATTAACTTCTTAATTTTTATTAAGATCTTATAGACTAATCAAATTAACTAAAATGATAAAGGAATATTAAAATAACTAGATATTATTTTGACAAACATGTATTTAAACATTTTATGTTTAAAACAGTGAAAAAAAGTTTTTCAGCCGAGTCTACAACCACGAAAGAGCATTTTCATGTCTCGTTGAAGTACCGAATAAATTTAGAGTAGTGGTGGAATTATAGATAATGATATAGTATATTAACGAGTGGTAACAAGCTAGTATAAAAATAAAACGTCAAATTTCTGGCTAAAATTGTAGTGTTTATTATCTGGCTTAAAACAATTCATAGAGAAATTGGGCCCTTAAACTGTTTTGAATTTATTATTAATAATAATTGTCTTTCATCGTCGCTTCGTAGTTTTTGTTACATTGCGGCGCGTAACAGCGTAACGCTTTTTTGGTAACACTTTTTTTCGGTTATTTACCGGCTAAATCTCACCCTTATCTCCTACCCCCTATTCCACCCCTATCTTCCGTCCACAACCCTTTCGCTTTTTCGTTACGCTCTTTTGGTAACGCTTTTATGGTAACGCTTTTTTCGGATATTTGCCAGGGTTATGTGCCAGAGCTAAGACATGAAAATGTCAAAAATTCAAATTATAAATAAAATTTGCAGTATGACTAAATGTATAATTTAAACTACGTATAGCATAATTAAGCGTGTATTTTTGTCAACTTTAAGTAGTTAGAAATGTTTTTAAATAGATTTTACATTGTTACCAGATATTTACTATTTTCTGATATTTGGACTTCTACTTTTAATTTGTTGACTTTGAAATAATATAAAATAAAATGGCAGAATGATGCAGTAATTTTTTTTTAATTTGTGTGAAAAAGAGTCTTAATTAATCATTCGTTAGCAAAATGTTGTCCGACAAGGCCCAACAAACAACCGGATAAATGGAATTACCTTTATTTCCAAAACATAGAGTAAAATATATCGCTAATGTATACAGAGTGATTATTTTATCGTGACCACCAACCACTCAATATGTCATAGGGTTTAATAAGACATTTTTTTTTCATATCATTTTTATACAATGCGATTTCGATTTTTCACAATATTTTGTTTATTCTTACCCCCTTCCAACTAAGTTTTTTTTATAGTATCTTTTGAAACTTAAATGGTAATTGTATACATTTCGTTAACCTTTTTAATTGAGAATAATGTACTAAACATGTTGACTGGTTGATAACAACTATTTTTAAAGATATAAGAGTTTAAAAGTTATGATAGGAAGAGAAGTGTTGTTAGAAAGTGCGCGCAGATAAAAATAATACTATACTCTACCTTCCTTTTCTCCTGCCATAAGCTTGAAATTTCAATAACTTCAAAAATAGTTATCCAAAACTGGTTATCGACCAGCCAAAATTGTTAGTACATTATTCTCAATTAAAAAAATTAATAACATGTATGCGTCATTTTGAATTTTGTCCAACTTTTTCATACAAATACTGACGTAACTCACTTTAATTGATAACCCGCGCTTTCTTTATTACCGGTGAATAAGGTAGTAACTCGATTGTATTCTTCAGAACTTCTTTGATCGATTCAAGATACGACCTTATTCGGCGGCTATACAGAAAACGTGTGTTATCAGTTTCAAAAACATAATTTTTTTTTTTAAGTGAGTTACGTCACTATTTGTTACTTCGGGACGTTGAAATGTATAACTTATGACGTCTAACGTTAGTTAGAACAATTTGAGTGGAAATACAATCTGCGATAGTCTCTAGCAATCAAATATTTTTATTATTTTCTATAATTTAAAATAATTCTTACTACAAAATGTATACTATTACATTTTGTTTTCCACAATATTGTGTGAAGTGTTACTTTTCTGACTATTCTATTCTGATAGACTATGTGAACACATAAATCATGGTTCATGACTATTTATCACAAAATTGGTCACACTAAAAATATCTAATTTTATTCTAAAACATAATAGTGTAGTGGTCTTAGCTGAAATTGAAATACCCTTTTCATTGACTGTAACTACGTTAACTAAACAAGAAATATAAAATGAAAAACATGAAAGTAACAAATAACAAAAAAAAAATTCAAGTGATTTACTGTGAACTGAAATTACGGCGAAAAACGACCAACACGCTATTATTGAAATTCTAGTAAGGAACTATGAAGAAAAGTGATGTTGCCATGGCAGTAAACGTTTTTACAATATCTTTAAAAGAGCCAGTATGTCATTTGTAGCAGACTATATACATTATTTTAATATTTTTAACTTCAAAAAAATGTTTTCCGTTGTATAACGCTATTAAAATCATTGCGAGACCTAATGTCTATAAAACTAGCAGTATTATGGATTTCAGTGCCACTTATTTGAATGAATTACAATTTCTGAACTCTCTAATAATATCATAATATCAGATTTAACTTATACACTTCGTTTAATGAAGTGAATTTTTCGCCTTTTAACTGTAATACAGTTTTCTGTTCATATAAGATTATGTTAACTGAACCATGCCAATGTAATGTTAAACAACTGTCAAACTTAAAGATACTACTTGACGAATAATTATTTTCGCCCGATCATATTAAAATTCTACGGCCTACCGGTTGTAATTGTTTGGTTGACTTTTTTAGTTGGGCCATGTTCGAAAGTCTCGTTCATCTTGGTTTGCGACCGGCTATCTTGACCAAATTTTATGTTGTATAGTTTATCATTTTCTTTCTGGAACTCAGCTCCGCTTAACCCTGAAATTGCTATAAGAAATAAAGAATGTTTTAGATAGACGGTTTACTTTCAAAGAGTAAAAATAATAAATATGATCGCGAACCTAAATTAATTAGTTTTTGTTGGTATTTAAGTAATTTCAATCAAATTGAAATTTCTCTAGGAAAGTACGTATAGGGACATTTTTGAAATTTTATTTAATAGCAATGCTTTACAACTATTTAAATAAAATCATAAAAATTGTGTTTTAAATGGGAAACCTTTTAATTTATTATACATCTACAACGTACCAACCTCAAAAATATTACATTAATTTGGTTAGATAAAAAGTGTTTTTGCTCTAAAACCCTTTTTAGAACGAGTAAAACGCATTCTATGTTAGACCTTATGTTTATGATATGTCTACTATACTTATGTCTAAGAGACAAGTAAAGAACGTTATCATTGTCTTGAACTTAAAACAAGAATGATTCTGAACCTTCTAATGACGTTCTCCGGGTACTTCCACGATTTTTTTAACTAAATTAAATTGGAAAAATGTATATTGAGCTTAAAGCAATAATTAGAGAAATATATCTCATCAGTTATCTAAAGATTATCGATTGTCTTATAAACAATCCACCCACACCTAATCACCACCTCGTCCTTATCTTATCCTATACATTTCCATTCCTATCTCCTTTAAACCTAATCAGCATCCTATCCGGCGATTATCGAATATCGCCTAAATGGTATTGTTTTTGCGTTAGTGAAAATTTTCATGAAATGACATTCAGGTAAAAATGTATTACATGAACATCATCATTATCATCAGCTTAATAGGCCTTTAAGGCCCGACGCTGCCATCATGAGATGATGGTTTATTGACGAATTTTCTGTTCAAACGGATCGTTAGTCCATCGCCAGAGAGAGAGAGAGATCGTCCTTTTCACTGGACGATTGCTCGCCCAGCAAACGAAGCGCCCGTGACCGAGTGTCGAACCAGTGACAGAGAACGCTAACACACTGCCGCCTACCCACTCGGCCACTCGTCCTTTATAAACATCATATATAAAAATGTATTTCAAAAACTTTTGAACTCAACACCCTACAGCGCTCAGATCTATACTGATGCATCCAAAACCAACACAAGAGTTGTAATTGCAATCATCAGCAATAATAGTTCCTCATCTTTCAGATTATCAAAGCTATTCTGTTACATGACCCCATAATTAACATCTGCACAGATTGGCTCAGTTAACTTACTAGTCTTAAGCATAACTTTTATTCAAGCAGTCTAGCAATAAAAATAGGCAATATTATATTACTGCCAAATAAGTCCATTCAGTTTATATAGATACCAGGCCAAAAATCCAAATTTAGAAATACTTTCGTACTCAGCTTTTGTCGTTATTCATAGGACTGTCAATAATCAGTATAATATATTGTCTTAACTTATGGAAATTTGAATGGTGGCATAGAGATAACAATAAATTAAGATAAATTAAACATTCTATCTAAGATAACATTCTATTGAGTATTAACCAAAGCCCAAATGGTATAATCTTAATTACGAGGTCGTAATCAACAGACTGAGAATAAGCCATTCTAGGATGTCAAATTTACCTTGTGAAACTTGTGGTGAACCTCTTGCAGTAAAACGCCTTATTGTTTAATGCCGAAATTAGATCTAACCTAGGGATTTTGGATAACCTTTTTGAGGCTGTTAGATAATTATTTTATTCTCAAATTAATTAATACATATAATTCAATATAAACTCTTCTTCTGCTTATACTCATTGTATCATCAATAACCTGTAATTATTTTTGTAAGCTAATAAGTTTAGCTGTTGAAGCTTAAACAAGATTAAGATATTTCATTTCACTTCAACATTTTAAAATAATAAGTAAATAAATACGCAGTAAATTTCAAATTTGAGGTGAATGAAAGCACGGGTAATCATAATTCCCACCAAGTGAACTAAATTCTTAGAATTTTTAGTTATTAAGCATAATTTTATTTACATTAAGATCATTATTTTTAAACTACAATGAAAAACTTTATCTCTCGATTTCGTAATCATAGATTTTTTTATTATATAGTAATGTTAGTCGTATACATATCAAACAAATCTACTAGGTACTCATAAACTGGGCTGGTGTTAGGGAGGAGCAAGCTGGGATCGTGTCTATGGCCTCATGTTGTTCAGGACCTCGCGCTGAAAGTTAAAAAAAGCATACAAATCCAAAATGGTAGCAAAGAACTAGAATTAATATTTTCAGAAATTAAATTTTAGTGAAAAAACGGCGTGTCACTCATGAAATAGTATTTTCAGTCGAGGTAGCCGTCGATATATACTTTATACTGCTCAAACCATGAAAAACCCTTGTCCTAATAATAAAACAAAATTTGTTTTTGTTTACTTTTTAATGCAGTGTCAACGGATATAACCTAACCTAACTATTTGTATTTAAATTTTGAAATAACTTAATACCTATTTACAACTATTGGGATTACTCTCACTTAAATATCTTCACTAGCCACCACAAGTTGTGTAAATAAAATACCCCATTCAAGTTTTAATAATTTTTCAACTCAATACCTATCATACATTTTTATTTTTTAAATAAAATCTTGAAATTAATAAATCTTTAGTTTTAAAAAAATTATCAGGCATTTAAAAAAAATTGTTTGTCTTTTTTTAGCAAGATGCCTTGCAAAAAATGGTTTTGATTGACACGTTGAAATGCCTTATTTATACTACATACAATATTCTTAAATATTTTGGAATTGTTTGGAACATAAGATGGTCATTTTTAATATTCATAAAACTTTTTTTATAGAATTGGACACTAAAATGTCAAAATGAATTCATCACACCTAGTTAAAAAATTAAATGAGTACAATTAGTACTCTCTTTAAAAAAAATATAATTACCCTTTGTTGATAATAATTAAAAATGTTTTAATAATATATACCAATCAATCAAAGAAATTTGATATTGGTAAAAGTATCGAGTGCCAACCTCTGCTGACATTCAATGCTGTTAACTTATCACAGCAAAAAGAGTTAAACAGATTCTTTGTTATTGACGTTTAGAAAAAATCAATAATGCAACTAATGATTTTTCTTAGGAAAAATCTCATAGGTCAAACAATAAAAACACCCACTCAATCACACACACGTAAACACACAATTGGTCAACTCTAGACGTATGTATAACCTAGATGATAACCTATTAAACGCTGCCTCATTTATATGTTGTCGTTGACTATAATTTATGTGTTAATCAAACTGTACCACTGGTTACGTATCAGTAACTATAAATATAATGTAAATATTTTAGTATGATGACTCATAACACTTAATTATACTCCGTAATACATAAGTTTTTATTTGTATTTAACGATATTAAAAGTTTTGCCTTCATCCGTGTTCGTTTAGCTAAGAAACAAAATGAAATATTACTATCCAATTCGGAAATTCTATTTTAATTACCTAGTGTTTAAGGGCAGGCAAATAGTGTTTCAATAAAATTAAGTTTCTTCGCGTTTTTAGCTCATAAACCAATATCTATTCTAAGTTGTTAATCTATAAGTTTGTATGAGCCGATTTTATCTAGGGTTTTTAACTAACGAATCGATTAGACTTTAAACATAATAGTTTTTACATTAACCAGTACACGATTCGTTTGGTACTAACCGGTTAAAGTGTTGGCCATCTGTCGTTTTCTCAAACTTGTCACTCCATCTCCGCCCGTCGGACTGCTTGCCTCGTCTTCGTCTTCATGTATCGTATAAACGTCGCCTATACTCCTGTCGTAGTACACCTGAGATGCGTCGACAAACTGATGCTGATCCAGCTGTTGCTGCAGCAAATCCTGTTGCTGCTGCTGTTGCATTCGGACCGTATCCTCCAACAATACCTGTCCGTTTTCGTCTAGCAATGGCATGGGTTTTAGGTTGATCTCGTTGACCAGACACTCGGCTAGGCTGACATCATCGCTGGAATCCGAACCTGACCGTTCAGCCGACGATTGCTGGCCGCCATACTGGAAGTACGTGGACGTGTCGTTGTCCGGCGACACCGGTGATAGCTGCTCTGGCGATGGTTGCAGGTGTTCACCGTTGTAACTTTGATATTGCTGCTGTTGTTGCCGTTTAGCAGCCATCAAAGGCGCGTAATTGGCCGAAGCACTAACTGTCTGCGATTGATATGATGGCGAACTCTGTTGATGCTGTTGCGGTGACTGATATGGAGCAGAGTTTTTTTGCTGATGCTGTTGCTCTTGATAGTCTGGATACCCACTATTTTGTTGTTGCTGCGGTTGCTGTTGCCGTTGATGCTGCTGATATTGAAGATTTTGCTGTTGTTGTTGTTGCTGCTGTTGCATCTGCAGTTGTTGTTGGTGTTGTTTTTGTTGCTGCTCTTGAATGTTATTGCTACCGTAGTAAGTACTTTGTGAATTTGGGTAAGTGCCATTATTATACCCTTGCCTGTATTCGTCCGTGCTCGACTGAATGTCGTGTTGAGATGACGCGTTTGTATTGCTAAAATACAAGAGATTCAGATGAAAAATAATATGTAATAAAAAAGCCACAGTAATGCTAGATAAAAACAAATGTAATATCGAGGCTGTGTCCGCCTGACTGACCGTCTCCCCCAAAAATGTCATAGTCATGTTTCCCATTATTCTTTATTTATTTACAAATACCTATTATAACTTGTTTATTGTATTTTATAGTATTTATCATTGAATTTGATTTATCAATAGTTTCTTAAATCGTGACGAATTAGTTTTCTATAAAGATATAGTTGTAATTAAATCTATGCTTTATTGTAAACATTACAGGGAGATAATGTTCGTTTATAAATAATATAATATACTATTTAAATGTCTTATTACCTAATCGGTTCTTCCATGTTTTTCGCTTTGGCCATTACGTTTTGAATAAGAGCCCGTTCTTCCACGCTCAAATGACTTAGGTCTAAACTCTGCGGATCCGGTTCGAGACCTGCGGACCAGAAAAATACAAAATAACGTTTTATTTATCAATAGATATATAATGATAGATTACACAATACATCTTTGTAAACTCACTGACCACGCTACTGACCCTTGACGCGAAGCGTATTCTACGAATATCTAGAAATCAGCTAGTATGCAGCGGTTCCCAACCTTTTTGAGACTATTACCCATAAATCAGGTTAGATATTAACAAATACCCCTCTCTCCTAAAAAGGGAGGTAATTACCCCCAGGTTCGGAACCGCTGGACTAACTGATAGTTAAAACCATTAAATTAAATATTGATATCATTTTATATTAATAGGATATGATGCAGAGTTAATAATAATAGATATAAAATACATAAAATAAAATAAAAATAGTTTAGTCTTTACCCCTCAAAAAATCGTGTTTTACCCCTTGGGGAGTAATTACTTGGGGATTAAAATATTATAAAAACACGTTTTGAAAAATGGTAAGAGATTAAAAATTTCTAAAATATTATTTAGAAAATGTTATTTAAATATTATGAACAAAATATTAATGTTTTACTTACATTTTAAATAACATTATAATACTTTAATAATATGTACATATACATTTTGTTTAAAATTATTTAAACATATAACCCCCTGACAAAACATGATGATTTTATAATATTCTTAAAATATCAAAAAACTTTGTCAATATAATACTATTTTCCTAATTTTTTCCATTAAGGAAAGTGTTTAATTTTCGCTAGACCAACATCCTGCTGACTCGTATAAACAATTCGGACATCTATCTACTATTTGTTCAAAAACATGTATTTGATTTCTAATAAATAATATAAATTATTGGGTTTGTAAACCATACGTATTTCGGAACGCAAATATCGTGTTTCGATTCATTTGAAGTACTTATGTAGTCCGAGGATGTTAACAGAACGATATTTCAAATTAAATGTAAATAGAACCTTTTATGATTTTAAACCGGTAAAACATTTTTTTTTATTTCCTTTTAATTTTGTTCGTAAATGTAATTTCTTTTTAACTCATTTCTAAGCTCAACAGACTATTTCGAGTGACACGAGAAACATCTCCAGGGATTATAATCATTAACGTGTATCGAGAACAAAAATGTCGTTTCAGATATCGCAAACATTGTATCAGCTCAAAATGAAAATGTGATCATCACAATTCCAATCGCCGTTAGAATACATAAAAAAACCTATGCAGGCATAACAAAATTCAATAACGTTGCATTCTAATAATTGACGATAATAATAATTATTTGACGTGCGTACAAAGCACAATACAATATCCATTTTATCAATTCTTTTTCCGCTCCTTTACATACCGCTACGCTCGTGTAGAAAAAAAATGTCTATATCAAATTACGGCATTTTATTAACTTATAGTCAATCTGTATAATTTGTTTTACAAACGTAATCAATGAGAAATTCACACTAATTAAAAAATATTTTTTCTTCTTGTTTTATGCATATACACACGGAGATCCATTAAATGTGAGATACTAATTTTCTTTAAAAATAATTACTATTATCTAGCTTTTTTTTAAGACATTTTAGTTTGCTTCATTTTTAATAATTATGTTCCTGCTTATTTTATAGGCACTAAGAAATGTGTCTTTTGGTTTTGATCTTTTCAACTGAAAATATCACACTTGAATACAATGTAGCTTCATTATAGGTAGGTCGCTCATTCACCAAAAAAATTAAATATTATTCAATAATTATATAAAATCTTTATGATAACGCTATTAGTCTTACACCTTTTATGGTAATTTTTCTAACGCACAAATTGTCCTGTATGAAATAAGTACTGTTCTGTAAATAAGAAAAAAGCAACAACCGATTTGATTTACTCTGCCAGAAATCGTATAATGTCGTTTAAAAATCTTTGTTTGTTTTGCAGAAAATATTGCATTGCATTATTGAAATATTTTCTCCTTTAGATTTTGAGACATTTTCCTTTTGAAATAATGTAATTCGTGTATTTCTCGGAATTTGAGTTCTGAACAAACGTTAAGTTCTTTTGATATTAAAAATTGTCTTTGTTAGTTTTTTTAAAAGTCCAATGTAATAAGATTTGTATTTATTCGTATGGCAAATAAATAAAAAATGTAATAAGATCAAAAGCTCGAATATTAAATTATTATTATTTTTATTAACTTTGTAGTATAACATTTGTACTTTGAACTATAATTGGGATTCTTAATCGTGTTGTAAATATAATAAATTAAAGATGTAAATGCGTTTGCATGAACAGATATATTCACAAACATCAATCAACTAAAATTAATATTATTAAGCCAAACCGAGTCTATTGTATAATTAAAAGGCGGAGATCTTCCACAAACAATTTTTTATAAGTCGTGACCTCATAATTACATTTTTATGTTTATATATAGATTATAATAATTAAAAAATTATTTAAAAAAATACAGTATTATAATATTAAGTATAATTTAATTTTTCTGATTGATTCAATGAATGTATACCCAGCCATCGTGTAATTGAACAGCTGAGTGCAAAAAGGATGAAATTCCAAAAATATGAAAAAAATATGATATAGCCATTTTGTAGCTGAAAGAACTCAACTCATATAAGCGTATAAAGGATAATATTCCATTGAAACTTCATTTATAAATTATATAATTCCTATATAAATAATATAGGAAAAAGTTTCCTTTTATTTTCGAAAGTTGTATGTAAAGGAATATTATCCCTTTTCCTCTCAGAAATTCAATTAATGTCATTGACAAGTTCACAATCGATCAGTTGGCCTTATTCCAAGCGCAAACAGTTCTAATTAACCAATCGTGAAGTAAAGCTATTAAACTCTTACACTGTATGAGTTGTCTATATTATCTTCTACTTACTTCATTGAAAAAAACAGAACTTCCAATCGTATTAACGTAGCTATTTAATTGTAAATTGTATTCATGCAAGTTAAATAATTTCAAAAGAATTTATTTAAAAGATGTATTATATGTATAATATATTTATTGAAGCATGCTTTGTTAAATTTTGGGGTACTTTGACATTCTAAACCGACAGTGACAGGATTTAAAAAATAATTCTAAATGGAAGGATTTCAAAGACAACCGACGAAAAAAAACCACGTTCGGAAAAAGCCGGTAACGAGACTTCCATCCTGCATTATCCGACTTAAAGGAGCTTACGTTTTTGGTGAATACGTTATCTTTTTCTATATTTATTTTGCTTTTCTTAGAAATATTTCCAATAGTGACACATACAGCTAAGCCTTTGTTGTTTCAAATAAAATAAAATATGCATGACAAGTTAAGTTGTTTATCAACATTCAGAATAATAAAGTAAAAAAAACTTGCTTTAATCTGTTTAATTGTCAACGACCAGCAAAAAGAGGCCTGGAACGCGTTTAGCCTACTAGACATATCACTTATACATGTGTTATTTCGTGCCACATACACTCCATCTGAAGTTCAGATGAAATGGTCAAAAAACATAAATTTATCATTATAAGTAATAATAATATATAATATATAATATATACTAGCGGTTTTTTCGAAACAACTATTGGTAAGCCGTGAAACGAAATACTAAAATACTTTAGTCTTGTTTTGTCGTTATCAATGGGAAGAATCCGTCAGGAATGACTTGCGCACACTTTGTACTCTCAAAAACACATTGACTGTGTGCTTACACACACACGCAGCACATTATACGCCCAGTCGACCCTGCCTCGACGGAGCGGTCGATTTTTAAAAAGGGTGTCGGCTAATATTAAGGTGCACCGCATTGTTTCTTCCACTACAGCGACGACCGAGGCAATGATGTTTAACGCAGCAAATATGTCAGCAAAAAAGATCATGTAATCGATAAACAATAAACATATAGTATAAACATGGTTATTTCTTATCCAATAAAATAAATCTCGGTTGTAAACAATAAGTTGGGCAGACGATAATATTGTTTCGTTAATCAATAAACACAAACATTAATAAAACCATCAGTGGTCGATCCATTACGTCAATCACCAACCCCCTTGACTATTTCATAATTACAAACTTTGTCGGACGTTAATGTTAGTTGATAATTGTTGGGGGAACATGGCTTGTAACCTTTTATTTTACAAGTTATCAGTTAACAGTTTAGTATAACTTAAAAGTTATTAATCAAACAAACGAAATTTAAGTTATAAGAAAACTTTATAACTTTTCTTAAATTCGAAAAAGAAAAATTTAGGTCTCCAAAAGATCAAAACTAAAGCAGATTTCTCCTTTGTTTTTATGTATCTCGAAAAACGTATGTTTTGTTATTCAACATTTTTAGTTAATAGTTCTCTAATAGTGCATTATTACAGTTGGAAGTGTAGTCTAATAGTAACATTACCTTTTGTAAATCGCATTTTGTGCTGCCATTTCGTTTATAAATTAGAACTATTTCGAGTAATGCCGAAAACAAAACAAAAAACCTGATTCGACAATTTATATGAACAGTTATATTGAAAACACAGGGAACGGTGTGGACTATTAGGTTAAGGTAAAATTGCCAGCGAACACTAACGCTGGGCTGAATCTGGCTACAGAAACGGCAGTCTCAAGGGCAGTGCGATTTGTTTAGGAGGACATACTGTCATCCCCTCCCAAAGCATGACAGAAGTTATACAAACGAAAAAATTATGTCTCAATCAACTAACACTTAAGTCTGATAGAGTTCAACAAATTATAAATTTATTAGCCCAGTTTTAAGTATATTCTTTTTACATATACCTATATAAATATATCATCAAAAGATGACTTGTGCATAAGAGGAAGATAAAATTTGAGCCGGCCAAGGTTTTTTTTTTAATCCATATTTGAAAAACGTAATTTGACGGTTCGTATGAGTTATAATTGAAGTCAAGCTTGTATCTATTATTAACGCTACAATATTTGGTAATTCAAGTACAGAGTAGAGCGGTGCAGACTTTGAAGAGCCCTAGGTGTATAGGATAATATTACGTTGAACGTTGACACTTCA